ATAGGGATGGGGAATGGGGCAGAAGAACTAGCCCTATTGATGAAATAAGATTGGAGCTTAAAAGAGATTCCATAGGTAATCAACCAGCAAGATTGCATACTAGATATAATTACCAGGGCCATGAAAATAGTGATAAGTTATTTACAACCCTCTAACTACAGGAGGGTCAAGAGTGAGTACTAATGGTACTACCTATGATAATTCAGCCCATCCTCCTGTTTTGATAATACTAGTACTTATAGGAAGGATGAGGACTATAGTACACATACTGACGCACAAGGTAATTAGAAAGTAGAAATCGATACTATTGATTTTTAACAAACTGGAAAACAATTTTCTACTTATGTTGCAAAGACAAACTAAACTAACCTAACCCAACCTTCCTAGGACTAATACACACTATCTGAGGCCTAATATAGTACACGTGTGCTATACTAGGTGTAGGAATATTTAAGTTGCTTTTTAGCTTCATTTTTTGGGACTCTTTATAAAGTGAATAGTACATAACTATACTATCTAACTGCTTAGTATGTCAATGTTTGTACTATGTGCACATAGTTACAAAAAGTACTAAGCAGGAGGACAGGTTGCATAATTGCACGAAATATACCTGAAGATTATAGAAAAGGCAGCCACTGTGGCAGAGCGTGCCAGAGCAGATACTGTATATTAATACTTGGGGATTTTAACTACATAGAAATAGTTGGTCAACAAAAGATACTCTTAGGGCAAGGTGAAACGTAGGGAGCAAGATCTGTGGACACTACACACAAACACTTCTTGTTAGCATATCAAGGAGCTAACAAAAGAAAAGAGGTGATCTACCAGCTCCCCTAGATCTGGTGTTTACCCAAAATGATGATGTAGTGAACTTAAAATGTGAGGTAACACTAGGAGCCAGTGACTGTTATCGTTACACACAGAGATCACACTAACGTAAGGAAGTATCTGGGATGCTCCTGGACGCAGGTTCAAATCCTCATCACGGCCCTTGTGGATTTGTTCTTGTGTTATCGTATTTGATTACAATGTAGAACTGAACAAATTGGAAACAGGACAATGAGCAAGAGAGAATACAGAAGGATACATACTACAGGAAAGTTTGGGATTTTCTACAGGTTCAATGACACTGCAATAGGAGGAAAGTCAGCAAATAAGATGGAACTCGTAATACAGAAATGCAAGGAAGTCACGGAACACTTAATACCTCCCAAGAGAGATGTGGACAAAAGGAGAACAGCAAACTCACAGTTTGACAGTATGAGGAGGAAAAGTAGACAAGAAAGGAATGGAAAAGTATAGGGACATGGGTACAAAGACAAACATGGAGGCATTAACCCTTAAGCTATTACAGCCTTAATAGCCATCAACACCACTGTGCTCAAGAAAAAAAAATAACATTTTTTTTTGTCTGATAAGTATTTATTTGTGTTCCCTGACCACGGGGGGAGAAAAAAAATCATAGGCGACATATTTTGGCCACAATAGGGCGAGGAAGTCTGGCACAATTGAGGCGTTGACAGAGTAAGCATCGGAGGCAGTCAGCTTTGCCCGAGCTGTCAGGTGGGAGTTGACACAAAGATATTATTACATAATTATTTCAATGTCTGATTTTTTCTTAGTTTTTTGGCAACGCTATTATTCAATAGTGTGTAGTGTGATTTATTTGTATAATAAATTGTGTGAACCATCGCTATACTCAAAAGTATTGTGTGCATATTAATGATTCAATTATTATGTTCATAAAACAATAAACAAATAGTTTTGCTGTTATTACACTATATACACAGGTTATATATAAGTATCTGCACGTTTTGTTCCCCATAACAAAAATTGATATGGCGAGTCAAAACGACAAGAGTTTTTGAGAGAAAAACAACAACGCCACACATCAGCCAACAAATGTCACCTCCTTCCCCAACACCTTACTCGCCAACATTCCTCCTGTTTTTGCTTTTATACACTATATACAAATGTTACATACAAGTATCTACATGTTTTGTTCACCATAACTGTACAACTAAGCTGGTACGGCGAGTTCTGACACTGAGGTCGCCACACTGTCAGCTGATGCTCCCTCCCTCACTAAAATGGCTCCTCCCAACATACTCCTTTAGCTGTTATACACTATATACACACGTTATACAGTGGGGCCTCGATTTACTATAGTACTGTAATCCGTTCCCAGAGACGTATTGTAAGTCGAAATATCCTAAGTCACAGCGATTTTCCCATAAGAAAGGGAATTGAATTAATTTGTTCCACATCCCCAAAAATATTAACTTAAAAATACATTTTATACTGAATACAATTTTTTTCTCTAACTACAATACAGTACATATGTTTATCTTACCTTCATGGAGGACTCTTGATGGCGTATGGAAGATGATGATGAGGGGGGGAAGGAGGAGAGGTGTTAGTGTTTGGAAGGGGAGTCCCCTTCCATTATAACATCAGGTAGTGATGATTTCTCTGGAGTTCTCTCTCTCCTACGTTTTGCCTGCATACCACTAGGACCTGGTTGCGATTCACTGCTTGTATGTCTGACTAAAAATGTCTAGCGACACTTGTTTTTCCCTTCATTTTAACATTTGTCTGTAGTGATGCATCAGTGTCATTGAAAAGGTTAAGGCAATGGTTTACTACAGCTTGCTCTGGGTGAGTCGTTTCAACAAAAGTTTGCATTTCTTCCCACAGTCATTTGCATTTCTTCCCACGGGACATTTAAATTGTGAGCGGCACCCTCACTTGTATATATACAATGTGAGCAGTTTAAGGGTTAAAGAGGGCCAGGAATGACCATACAAGAATCAGGAGGGCATCAGTTTGGAAATGACATTGTAGCAAACGCAAAAACCCAACCAGAACACAACCTTATTTGAAGGAAAACAACAGTACAGAAGCATTGAATAGACTGCACATACAAGAAGGAACACTCTTGGAGAATAACAAACAAGAATGTGTGAAGAACTCTACAATAGGTTCAGGTGGTCTTCATACCAGAACCAGATTAGTGTCCAAGAAGGGGTGACAATACAGAAACAACACTAGATAGAACAAATCCACAAGAGCCGTGATGAGGGTTCGAAACTACGCACGGGATGTTCCCAGATGTACCTTAGTCAACTGTACCGCAACATGGTCAAAAGAACAATATGGTCACGGTCATTCATTTGACCATGTCATGGTACAGTTGACTAAGGCGCATCTGGTAACATCCCGTCCATAAGTTCGAACCTTCATCACGGCCCTTGTGGATTTGTTCATTTGATATACTGTATCCTGCTATTGTGATTTGTGTGTGTAACACTAGATAGAATTGAAGTTAATAAAAAAAATGGTAAAAAGATACCTGGACACAATAAGTCTGCATTCATTTTACATAAAATCCATCACACAAGCCATAACTTGTTGGGATTACTAGTAGTTATAAAAAGGCAAGCATTGTTGGTTGTGAAGCTGAAGCCTTTATACATGTATACATGTTCATGCAATGATTGATTGGCTTTGATCAATAAGGTCTAATTCAAGTAACTCATTACGGTAAAAGGTTTAAGGAACACAGCAGCCTTTTTAACGACAAAAATTATCACAAACTTCTTCCTTATTCAAGTCATTTCCATTAAATTATTCTCTTCATTATCACCTTACAATAACAGTCCATGAAACAGGAGTCTAATTAAATCATGCATCTTCTAAATATACAGGGAAAGAAAGCATTTAAATAACATACTTATACAGTATACCAAAATTAAAGACAATAATTACAGGAATTTATTTATAACAAAATTTTTAAGTCGATATTGGCAACATTTTTTTAAAACTCAAAAAATAAATTGAAATTACAGAAATAGTGTAGAGCAATAATATTTATTTATTATTTATTATTAATAATGTTAAACTGACAACATTTTTACAAATGTTAAATTATTTTTTAACAAGACATTTAACTATTAGTTCTTTACAAAATTATATTATAATATAGTGATGGAAAAGCAATTTCTAAAATACTTACTAATGCAAAATAAAGTTATTCTTTATCAGAGTGAAAATCATTATGTTGGGCATTCGTGAAAACATGATTAAATATGGACACTCAACTCACAAATCTGAAAAATGAAGAATTGACAATGTTTTAGATCATCTTGGACCATTATAAGGTTGTGCAATGGTGCAGGTGGGACTGAAATGTCATCAAATCTACATTTCAGAGTTGCGAGTCGAGAGTGTAATCTTCAGCCACGTTATCGTGACTCGTCATCTGCACGATTAAATATACTTTACAAAATCCAAACAATATATGATTTATTATTAAATACTTGTCTTCTCTGATGCTGTACATGTATACAAGTATAATGAGTCAGCTTATTCAAAGATAATCTATAAATCCATCATATATAAAATGAAATGAACATTTGTACTAAGTGGAAAGACGTTCATAAATCTCAGACAAGAATCATTTCCATTAGTATCAGCAGTGTTCTCAAAAGGTCTTATTGTGCAGGGCTCTTGCTGTTAAAAAAATGTCTTTGGTGCAAGGTAATCATCAACCTTTCCGTTCCCCAATTTTCACAGGATGGAAGGTGGAGAAGGAAGAAAAATGGTCACCAACCCACTCTCCTTAGCCTTTCATTACAGGAAAACCAGTGTTAATAGCACAAGTTATTAATGGATTGTGTAGGACATATCTAAATGTTTTAAGGGGTAAATTTAGTACTACTGTAATGGCAAGAGCGCCAATTTACTTGCAAAAACACACTAACATACAAGGCTAATATCTGACCAAACCTTTGGACACGTTTAACGCAAAATCAAATTTTGGGATAATCGGTACACACACACTGAATAGATTAGTTAACCATTGCACATACAAAATGTTAATAAATCAATAATGCATGCATGTTTTTTTGTTTGTTTTTTTACTTACCAGGTCTTCCAGTTCAACCACTGGCAATGAAATACACAGGAATGATAGTTCTACTGCTAAATCTAAGACTCACCCTACGACGTCTCCGATCTGTTCGTCGTATGTGGTGCCAGAGAACCATCAGCATCTGTGTATCTAATCCTGTAAACTCTTCATTACGCTCCTTATGACGCTTTCTTAAATTTGATTTGACGGTCTGGAAGATGTAAAATAAGACAGATCCACAATTAACATGAGCCACTGTATATGCCTAATTTTCAATTCTATATTTCTCCTAAAATTTAAATTATGATTAAAATAAAATCTACCCAAAATAGTATCATAATAACAGACACAAAAAATATGTTAACTCGAACAAGATAAATAAAATCATATGATAATTACACACAAGTTGATGCAAAGGTATGAATAAAACAAGAGAAACGCCAGGATTGGGTAGAACAAAAGCCACCACCACCAATAGGAAGTACTTCTTCACAGTGATAAATGGTTGGAACAGGTTTTAATAGGAATTAATGTGTTCTGAAATATTTATGATTAACTCTAGCAGTTATTTGTATGCCCACTCCTGTAGCTTGTTAAGGTTCTACAGTCTTTATACTCCTCAATAACCTTGCATCATCTACAGTCATCGACATATTATAATAACTTGCCCCCCTCATACAAGTTAGTAACATGCATCAGGAACATTAGAGTACATGGAACAAGCCATGAGGGACCCCGTTTGCTGCATCTCTCAAATCTCCCTGTTGTTGGTTCTGGGGATCAATGTACCCACTGCTCAGTCTCTGACCAGGCCTCCTGGTTGGTAGTCTGGTAAACATTTTTCCCTCTGAATATGACCCCTCTGTTTCCTGTTTGTCATGTACTACCCTGCCCAGTTCAATATCCTTCCAGCCCGATTTCAGCCCAATTTTTCACCTGGAGAGGCTTGTGTGCTTTCTAAGAAAATGCAGTTTGCCCAGTCCCCTCTCATCTCGTCTTATATTTTGGCAAACATCTCGCAGGACTATCAGGGTTAAGTCATGACATAACCCATATAAAACCATGCAAACTCTTTGATATGAAATGTGATCTCTTCAGATACACCACTACTCAAATTATTTTCTCTAGTATTTTAAAAGGAATATATATTAGGGAAATCATTTTATAGCTTAGGGTTTCCTGTCTATCCTCCCTCTTGAATACCAGTACAGTACTGTGTTTCCTGTTTCTCAGATATTTGGGAGTTATCCAGTCTCTTTTACTGTGTTGTAGACTTTGGCTAGTTAGAGTTTCATCAGGTGTCTTTCTACTTCCTCTTCAATGGATACCAATGTAGTCACTCAGTAACTACAGTACTACAAAATGATGTATCTGTTCATTTGTCATCACTTAATATTGGTCTTTTCTTAGATTCCATCTTAAAAGATCTCGTTGGAACCTCTTGCCAAGTTCTCTGTTAATATTTCTCAGCACAGGACAATCTTATGGCCACCAATGTTACAGTCATGAACCTGGAGAAAGCACACATTAAAACCAACAAAATGTGGCCTACAAGAAATGCTATCTTTTGTTATACAAATATTCTTTGTTGGAGGCAGTGCTTGAAAGAGTGAATGGTTGGAAATAAAAAATTAGCAATTACAAAAACTGTAATGACAGTGGCTATTTAACTAAATGGGTAGATTGACATTCAAGACAAGTACAAAATAGCAATTACAAAGTACACCCAAGCTATGGTGCATGATGCTATCATACCAGCTGAATTTGACGTACTGCCAAACTTGACAGAATGGTGAAAACTTTGAAGAACATGTGTAGCAGAAGAGCACCCATAGTAAATGGAAACAAGATCAAGATTCCTATATTCGAGTCAATGTAGCATTAGTCTGAGTGAAGAGGGGCTCAGAATATTGTACTGAATATAGATACCCAGGAGTGATGCTAATTAAGAATGACAATGTGAGGCCAAATGATAAAATGGTAGTTAATATAGTTGTTTGTAGTGCATGTAGAATTTGTTTGAAGTACCAACTCTTGTGCTCACTAATGAATAGGTGTGTGAAACAGTCTTCTTAGACACAAGTCAAAATAAGGAGAAAAGCCAAGATAAATTACTAACATACAAAGATCAGTACTGTATTTTGAAAGTATTAGATAAAGATCTGAGAAAGGTATGTAGGGTGATGTAGTTTCAAGAAATACAAATAGCCAAGTCTATTGAGACAATGTTAAGCATCCTAAAAGGCTGGAGGGTAGAGGGCGGTGAAAATTATGGACATGTTTTACCAGGAAAAAGGCTGAGAATCCTATGACGTGAATAAGCTGAACAGTGCAGCACACAGACGGGGGTCCTATAGCAAAATAATTTTCTAGGCAAAAATGGGGTCAATTCAATTTGGTATAGAGTAAAAATTATATAACATTAAAAAGTAAAGAAAATGTTGATTCAGGTACATTCCAAGTGAATAATTGGGGACGACACTTCAGAAGTGGGGCGACAGGAGGCTCTGTCTAAGCAACCACTTTTGTCTTCATGCAAATGCATGTAGTGTACAGACAGAACATGGATAAAGTTTATCATGTTATCAGAAATAGAATATACCTATATCTTCAATGGTTGTTATAATGTGGAATATTACCCAATACACTATAAAGAAATTTATTGCCATTTAACTTACTTGTTCCAAATTAGGCAAGTCGGGATCATCCTCACACGTAGGAACCCAGATCTTAATATCGTCATCAAGGCCACTAGTTGCTAATACAGGTATGTGTGGGTGTGGCTCCAGGACATTTACCTACAAATACACAGTACACAAATACTTGTCGGAATCTTAATTACATACAAATATAAATTATAATATTGGATTTAATTTATTCAAAATTTGCTCACAGGACTCTTGAAGATTTTCTTTAATGAAAAAAACAAGTTCGGTAATATGAAAATACGAGATTTGAACATTTTAAATGCTGAAGTAATATTTGCATAAAAAAGTATAACTTTGAAATAATTTGTTAGCACTTTTAAAACCACCCAAAACTTACCACCCCATTCTCATCCCCAGGCATGCACTGGACAATGGCTTCAGTTTCACGATGCCAGAAGAAAATATTCCCACAGTCGGAGCCAGATATCACATACTGACTACCCGGTCCAAAGAAATTAACACCTTTAACTGTAACACGGAAAATGGAATAAAAAGTCAAGAATTAAATTAATTTCTATGCAAATAAAAAATTTAAATGGTGGCAATAGTCAGAGAATACTGCAATGTATTTAGTGATAAAGAAGTTCAAAACAAAGTCTAATGTTAACTGCATAAATTGATGAATGAGAAACTAACTGCTTATCAGTGAATAATATAATTATAAGCACAAATTATTGTATTTGCTGGGAGATAGGACACACATTTTTCATCCATCACTGACCAAATATATATTTACATGCACAAGCTCATACATATTCTCATACAAAACCACTTAAAAATCACTTTAGAAATGAATGAGAGCTGATGAGTTAGCCAAAGAATCTGCCTTTAAAGGAGTGGATAATAACCTCTGATTGCCTATAAACAGCCTGAGGACAATAATACGCCAAGGACCTCAACAAACCCTTGTAGATCTGAGGAAAAGTGAAATCGACACTAGTAATTCCATTTATCATCATACTAACATACAAGAGTCACACATTTATGGATCATCCAATAAAATCAGCAGACTCCTATATATTGCTATTGCTCAGCTGTCAGTTAAATTATTAACACAGCTTTCATCACTATGTGATGAAGTGCAAAAAACCAGTGTTGAATGAAATGAAACATTTTCTGGGTGAGCCCCGGAGGCTCCCTAGAACCCTCCCTTCCTCTGGGTGGCGGTTTTGTTTTGATGCTCAGCCTCCGAACTGAGGTGCGAGTAGCCGGTGCAGGGGAGTCCAGGGCTTCCCCATTCCCCTCCCAGGAAGGGGAGGGCTGCATGGACAAGTGGCGCAGCAGTGGTGAATGACGTTTGCTTGTTTCCTAATGTTTTGGGGGAAGTTCTGTGTCTCTGTTCGGTCTTCGGTTGCAATTTCTTCCCAGGTGGGGTTTGTTTTGTTATGCCTACCTTTCTAGGTGCCTAACCCCAGTCGATGGCAGACATGGAATACTCCCAAACACATGGGAGTTTCCATAGACCATTGCTCCCTGTGCCTCTCCGAGGGGGCCAGGTTCTGGCTTGAGATCCTTGGTAGGCAGAACTCCATTGACTGATGCCCCAGACTAATATAGTGTATATCAGTCTGATAGCTCCAGGGAGCCGGGCTTCCCACAGAAGCATACGTGAATTTTGAGTCAGCGCTATAACAAGCGTTTGAGAAATGTGAAAATATTTAATTAAAAATGAACTACCAGAAATTTTAACTTTTTATCCCATTTGCTAACTGTAGGTTAGCAAATGTTAACCTACGCATTGCTAACAATGCGCAAATGCTACGCAATGCTAACCTAAAATGATAAGGGTGATTGTAACCTTTCCACCTCTGCCCACTGGATAGAGGGCGGTGTGCAAGATAAACCTATCAAATATGAAACTAGATCACCACATATGTCAGTTGCTTAGCTTAGAGACTGTACTTGTAGATGGTTTCTAACACAGTAATTGTTGATATAAAAATATACATTAAACTTCACAACTAGCTTATCAAAACTAACTTGCTTAACTTAATAAATTTTGGAGCTCGGTCCTTGAGTCCATTATGTGCCTCTGTAACCTTTCCCACTACTGCCCACAGGATGGGGATGGGGTGTATAATAAATGAACTAAACTAATATAGGCCCTATCCCTGTATGGTTGCTCGAGCACTGTACACAAAATATCTGTGCATAGATAAATACTGTACATGGTGTGGTAATACTTCCATGAACTGACAGCAAACATGACATCACACGGAATGAAAAAACAAATTACCATAAAATCAATAATGTAGTAACTTTGCTGATCATAAGAATTTACAAAAAATATCATTCAAAGCTCATTCATGTACAGTATTAGTTTTTGAATAAGAAATCAGCCCAGATCTCACACACACATGAATAAAAATATATACAAGAAACTCAGCATACACGTTAGAGTGAAAACGTTCAGGTCGATCCCTTATGTACCTGTAGCATTGTTACGGTGGCCAGAGTATCTGTGGGCAGCATCGGCACCTTCTGACAGTGACGTATCAAACAAGTAAATATCATCATCATTGTATGATGCTAATATGGAATCTCCATTTCCACTATAAACAGCACACGTTACCGTCGGTGTTGGCGAGGCCTCAAACTGAAAGGAAACACAAACAATATGTAGACAAAATCCTATAAATCCAAAATCCTATACAAATATGTTTACATGAATTAAATAATGAATCCTCTCCACTTGTTCCAACACTTCTGTTTTCATAATAAGAGCTCCAGAAAGCCACAAGATACTTTATAAATGTTTAATAAAAGAAGCAACAAAGTTTACATATTTACAATAACTTAAAACTTAACAAAACTAACAAAACCAAAAACAACTAGGCATAATGACTTGCCTCCGTAAGCAGGTGACCTATTAAAGTTCTAGTTTTAGTGGGACCATTATTCAAAGTAACACTATTCAAAAAACTATATATTCTGTGAAAATATTACTTGCATTTGTAATTATATTATTACTTGTAAAGTAACTAAGATCTAAAAATAAAACCCTTTGTAATGATAAAAACTATTTTCCCTGTTCGTATATTTTAACCTTGTTAGACCCTTAGAAGTGAAGAGTTTCTGTCCAGCAACATTTGATCACTGGGTTATTATTAGGATTATTACAAAGAGTAATTACAGTATACTAATATGACTGCATCAATGAGAAAATCCGTAGGAGCCGTGATGAGGATTCGAACCTACGCGGTGCATGGGAGATTGTGTGAAAATCCTGTTCTGGCTTCAGTAGAAGCCTTGGGAAATCCTTGTGCGTTCAGTAGAACTCCAGGTTGCAATTCTTTTGACCTTGTCGTGGCCTGATTGTCTGGGGCGTGTGTGTCGGACTACCCACAGCATAGGTTTGAATCCTTATCACAGTCCATGTGGATTTTTCATTAGGATTATTCTAGAGCAGACTAGTTTGCCTCAAAGGACGAAAGGATTCACATACAGTCGACCCTTGTATAAAGCACTGTACAATTATTCAGTGTGTTCTTGCCATATAGAGGGCTTTATTTAGTGACCAATGATTTAAACTACTTGCACTAGTTTAACACACATTCATGGCTTGCCTGTCCACTCTAGCAAAGACAGCTGTGATTTCACTGACTTGCCCACGCTCACATGCTTTGAGGTTACCTTGAAGTGAATCTGAGGATCAATGTGCCCCATGTCCCAGTCTCGGGCATCACCGCATGCAGACTGACATATGAGAGCCCCAGTTCATCAGGTACCCTTTGGAGGCATTTACTGAGATTCTCTTTTGAACAACGTAAAGTCGGCTAGTTATGCTCCCACCCGCTTTCACATGCACACTTATTAACACAGGTATAAATTCCTGTGTATTTTCTTGGCAAATAATGTCAAATATTTGAGGTGTTCCATGTCGCACATTATTGTAGCTTTGAACATCTATCACTGTCACCTTGCTTCTTCCAACTTCTTCCAAAGTCCCTTCCTGAGAGGGGAGGGGAGACAGATGGGTTCCTGGTCATAATGTGTCAGTCACCACACTACAGGTTGGCAGCAATACAATGCAACTTGCTACCAACACAACCATCTACCCAATACAAAATTAAATGGAGAACCCCCCATCCATCATTCTGCCCACAATGCTTCCCCTGCCACCCACTCCTATACCTACCACTGCCACCCACTCCTATACCCACCACTGCCACCCACTCCTATACCCACCACTGCCACCCACTCCTATACCCACCACTGCCACCCACTCCTATACCCACCACTGCCACCCACTCCTATACCCACCACTGCCACCCACTCCTATACCCACCACTGCCACCCACTCCTATACCCACCACTGCCACCCACTCCTATACCCACCACTGCCACCCACTCCTATACCCACCACTGCCACCCACTCCTATACCCACCACTGCCACCCACTCCTATACCCACCACTGCCACCCACTCCTATACCCACCACTGCCACCCACTCCTATACCCACCACTGCCACCCACTCCTATACCCACCACTGCCACCCACTCCTATACCCACCACTGCCACCCACTCCTATACCCACCACTGCCACCCACTCCTATACCCACCACTGCCACCCACTCCTATACCCACCACTGCCACCCACTCCTATACCCACCACTGCCACCCACTCCTATACCCACCACTGCCACCCACTCCTATACCCACCACTGCCACCCACTCCTATACCCACCACTGCCACCCACTCCTATACCCACCACTGCCACCCACTCCTATACCCACCACTGCCACCCACTCCTATACCCACCACTGCCACCCACTCCTATACCCACCACTGCCACCCACTCCTATACCCACCACTGCCACCCACTCCTATACCCACCACTGCCACCCACTCCTATACCCACCACTGCCACCCACTCCTATACCCACCACTGCCACCCACTCCTATACCCACCACTGCCACCCACTCCTATACCCACCACTGCCACCCACTCCTATACCCACCACTGCCACCCACTCCTATACCCACCACTGCCACCCACTCCTATACCCACCACTGCCACCCACTCCTATACCCACCACTGCCACCCACTCCTATACCCACCACTGCCACCCACTCCTATACCCACCACTGCCACCCACTCCTATACCCACCACTGCCACCCACTCCTATACCCACCACTGCCACCCACTCCTATACCCACCACTGCCACCCACTCCTATACCCACCACTGCCACCCACTCCTATACCCACCACTGCCACCCACTCCTATACCCACCACTGCCACCCACTCCTATACCCACCACTGCCACCCACTCCTATACCCACCACTGCCACCCACTCCTATACCCACCACTGCCACCCACTCCTATACCCACCACTGCCACCCACTCCTATACCCACCACTGCCACCCACTCATACAATTTCCATCCAGGTAGTGTATTCATGAAATGTACAACTTTATTATGACTGGGAATGCAACCCAATTGTTTCTATTTGTTATTCTGTTTATATAGTAGTTCATTTTCAAATGTCATGCAATTTTCAAGGAATGTAACTTCCACGTCACCTGTAAGGTAAGGGGTTATCTGTACTAATCTATACTATTATTTTTGCACTTACCAGATGACGAGGGCAATACTTAAAAACAGGAAAACTTAGGTTCCCACAACGTCGATCATATACTCGTACGTATTGATCGTGGCCGCTAACACAAAATTGGTTCTCGTTGACAGGGTGAGCATGGATGCTGTACAGAGAAACACGACTACCAGATATATCTTTCACCAGAGCAACCCTGAAATACACACATTTTTTATATTATGATATTTAATAATTATGCACAAAATTATTCTTAGAACAAGAAGCACAAAGTTAAAGATACCAAATTAGGTAGAGATCTTGTTTGCATGACACTAACGATTAGAGCTTTGTCAGTCTTGACCAATATGGTGTTTCAGACTTAAAACTTTGTGAATCTGTGGACAAACTGTACAAAATATTGTACATAACAAAACATAGCATAAGGCACAATGTGACTGACAAAATTAATAACCCATCTCACAAGACTTGATAAGGGTCCAGGATACACAAACATTGTCCTTTCCTTTCTTTTCATGTGTGAGAGTTTAGTTATTTACTCATTTTCATGTACTTATTTACTGCCAAGGGAACAGAGGCAATCAGGTGTGCGGAAACGTGCCCAAAACACTTTGTTTTACAGGAGAATCAAGCCCCAGACCATTTGGTAGTGAACCAACTGCACTGACCATTGTACTATAGGACACTCAGCATTATGTCTAATATAACTACAGCTGTGAATCATTAGCAAAGTGTGGAATAATAAACTATTAGACCAAGATGAGACATACTCACACCGGAGGTCAGTTCAGTAATGTAACCTTTCTGGCTTTCATTAGGGCTTAGGTAGGGAAGACCAGGTCATACAATTATTACTAGTATGGTCATCATAGCTTAACATTAACTTATCATCGTTTATTTCCCTATGTGCTTTGACATTAATGCTTGAAATTACTAAATAAAATTGGACCCACATCAGTAAATAGGTGCCTGGGAGTTAGACAGCTGCTACGGGCTGCTTCCTGGGAATGTGTAACAAAAAGGAAGCCTGGTTGAGGACCGGGCCACGGGGACACTAAGCCCTGAAATCATCTCGAGATAACCTCAAGATAATCAAGATAACATCAGTGCATCATTATGATGAATTCCAACACACTGTCTAAAACAGTGGGTTCCTGTTTTAGGAACCCACTGACCCCCTTTGATAGGTAGAAAGTTATTCTTCACTTATATTATGATAATAAACAACTTAAATGAAGAATATTGTACTAAGTTTCACCTGTTTTATTTACCTAGTTGCTTGCTCTTGTCTAATATCTATGTTAAGTACTACTGCATCTTCTCCGGCAGATAATACAACATGTGGCGAGGTAGGAAGTGTTGCTAGTTTGTGTGCTGGACCATGGTGCTTGGCTAGTTTTCGGGTGGATTTGCAAACGCCCGTTGACGAAAGTTCTGCTAGACGTACCTGCCCATCACGTGCACAAGATACAATGTGTGTGTCTCCACTTAGGGGCAAGAACTTGCTCTGTAAAAATAATATCAAACTTTGTAGCTCAATTATTATGTATTATTGTAAAGAACCAAAATATAATTTGAAAAATAGAATAGTCTATGATGAAATGCCCTTTTCTTGCTACCTCAGTAACACCGTAGTTCACTGGATCTGATACCAGACACTTCCAGAATTACAAAATTTATATTAAGAGAATCATGCAGAAAGACTAAAGCATGGAAGAATGATGAAATCTTTAGAAACAGCATTCGTGTATCTATTGTTCTGTGAAGAGCAAGACGCTTATGAAAAAGATTTATAATATTTATTTATTGTAGAGATTAAATGTTCCACTTTCAAGATTTTTATCTTTAATAAGGCAATAATGTGCAAGATAAACTCTCTAAAGTTCAGTTGGATTGTGATAAGTTCATAAACAATGACCATCATATTAAACTGCTTTAAAGTTGACCAACAATTTTAAGCTACCAATGGAGTCAAATTATTACCCTATACAGTATATTACACTAACCCTACAAGCAGTGGCACTGGTAAACATTGTAGCCTGGAAACTGTAAGACCCATACCAAAGCAGGTTTTCCCATAAAGTTCCTACTGAAATGAAACAAATGTTACAAAACTGAACTGACCTGGAACACATTATTTCGATGGCCACTGTAAAATGTGATCAGCGCTTTCTCTCGGGCCCAATCCCACACAGCTATCTGGAAGTCATCCGAGCCACTAGCTAATCTGGTTCCAGTGGAGTTGAAGCTTAATGCATTGACACAACCCCGATGAAATTCCATTTTGTACATTAACTCAAGGCGTTTAGGCACATGGAGGGAGTCATAATAATGGTGGCTGAATAAGACTGACGTCTGATGTTTAGCTCTCCCACCTATCTGCCTGCAAATTGACACACATTTTAGACATACATTTTGGCCACAACAATTTGTCAGTAATACACATGGTCAATAGCAACATAATCAAGGTAAGGTCACCACCCATGGACCACCACTACTAGTATTCTGTAGCACTAGAACACTGCATGAAAGCCCAAAACAATCCAGAAACTTCAAATATACTACAGTATTAGTATTACAGATTATGATCAAATATGGCAGACATTGAAGATGACTCATTTATACACAAAAATTAACTTAATTTGCATGGCTATCTATAGATTTCTTAAGGAAATTTTAAGGCCGAGTGAAGCACAAAGAGCCAACAGTGATGTAGAAAAACAAAGTTAAGATGAAACTGTATTTACTCCAAACATTCCACATGTAGGGTAAGGTCGCCAATTCTTGGCTACTGAAGCAAGTTATTTATGTTCAAAGAACTATATATCTAGTAAAAGATACCTATAATACCATGTTTAAGAAAACTAGGGTACGCATTGAAAAATATATTTACATATCATTTATATATCAATATCCCTAATGTCTAGAACGTAAGTGCGGTATTTAGAGATATTAATAAAATGCCCACCTCAGCCCAAAAAATCCTTTTATCTAGTTACATAACCCATTTTAATGTAATTAAACCAGAATACAAACATGTATATAGCGTACTATTATGTTTTATAAAGTACCAATGTTCATGGGTATCTAGTTATGTGCTGCCTGTGTTAATGCTGGAATTATAGACCATCACAAGTACGGGAATGTTTATGTTTTCCCCATTGTTGGGGACACAAAACCTGTGCTTAGGCTTATCGAGGTTCTGCAGGCGATGAGTCACAATAACGTGGCTAAAGTAAGTTGACCAGACCACACACTAGAAGGTGAAGGGACGACGACGTTTCGGTCCGTCCTGGACCACTCTCATTCTCAAGTCACAATCGACTTGAGAATGGTCCAGGACGGACCGAAACGTCGTCGTCCCTTCACCTTCTAGTGTGGTCTGGTCAACTTATTGAGGTTCTCCTAGGCCAACTACTGACCTTCCCAGGATGTTATCAATAATGCCCAACTTCTGGGTACCTATTGTACGGTTAGTTGAACACAGGCATCATGTAAAAAGAAATGTGCCCAAATGTTTCTGTCCCATCCAAGGGGGGGGTGAGGTTGAACCCAGGTCCCTTGATTGTGAGCCAAGAATGTAGACTACTGTGCTACAGGACCCATCTATGTGTCAATATAGACTTGAACTAAGTGTTAACTTATTTAAATCAAATGAGGCCCCCCTCCCCTTGCCACCACTACCAAGTATTGTATACATATTCCCCATAAAGAAACAGCAAGAGAGAGAGAGAGAGACAGACAGACAGATATAAATGGAGGTTAGGAAGGAGGAGGGGTGGGAGCAATGTTACCAGCAAAGGAAACATCAACGAAATACTGTCTAACAGAGGTAGCTAAATTATACATGTATCAGAAAAGTATTAGAAAAAGTAGCTAACCTTTGAATAATCTGCTCAACAAAGTTCCACTCGTGTTTGGGATAAGGTCGGTCCTGAATTCTTTTAATTTCTTTGGCAATTGCTTCTTCAGTGTCCCTTCGCTGCGTTTCATCTTCCAAACTATCTTGGATGCTTCTTCTTCGTCTCGTGTCATCCGAATCTGAATCTGTATCAGACAGTAAACCACCAAATATGGTCTGACGATTTCGAGGTCTTTCTCGACGGCGCTCTGAAGCTGGTGAATCATCTAAGAATAATAAACCATATTAACGTTAGCGAGTATTTTTTTTTTATTTAAGCTCATCATTAATCTATTAGATTTGTTTATTATTTTTTTGTCATGTACAGTAGGGAAGAATTGGAGGGTAAAAACGTTCACAGGACTTGATAGTATGCACTTCTTGTGATCTGTCTTCTAAAATACATTCAACAATCAATCCCTCTTAACCATTGGCTGAATGCAATTAAATGTTCTTTTCTGGGCAGCCCCAATGCATTGGCTCTAGTGCCACACATGCATCCCCCAAAAGCAACCAGGTCTTTGGACTTGTACAGGCCTACCAAACACCAAGACCAGAATTTGGTGTGCTTATGGAGGTGAAGTGGGCATGGAGATTCGTGATTAACTTCATAACCAAAAAGATAAAAACATCAAAAGTGGAAGTTTACACTGTCAACTAACTGTATGCTAGTATCCAAGCAGGACAGAGGGCTCAATTTTAGAAAACAAATGCTTTGGTATGCAGACTTGCACAGCAGCTAAAACCAAGGAAGACAGCCACATATTCAATGCCAGTATAAATTTAGAGCAATAATTATACAGTACACAGGAGCAGAACTGCCATGGAAGCTAATGTGCTCTAAAAATAAAAACTTTAACCATCATTTGGAATGGTACTCTTGGTACAATAAAATATCAACTCTTACATTACTTCAGGCAAAGCACAATGATCAACTCTTTGATACTCTTCTGGATAAACTGGAATATGTATGAGGAAGGTCAATTAAAATTATATTGTCCCTATAGCTAAAGAACTGTAGGAAATCTAGGCGAAGATTGTAAAAAGTCTAGGCGAGTATTGATCAACTGCAAAAGTGGAAAAACCAGATACCCTTTGGACACGATTGTGCTACCATTGATTGGCATCTTAAAACCAGAGGCAGCTTTTCCTGCACCTGCCAATAAGCTAGAGATCTGCAATGTTTGGAAAGCACCAGGGTCCAGATTAAGGTCAGTATGAGGGATGAAATCTATGCTAGTCAACCTAACTACCATTTTACATCCACAATGCAGCTTCAACACAAAGAGCTTGTGTGTGCAAGAAATACATAGTACTGTAATATGAGAGAGAATCAATAGCCAGTACATTAGGCAACCAATTGTTAGAAAGGCGAGATCTAATAACTAAGAACTTGATCTTGCAGGCACAGTACGTGTCCAGACCCCCATGTGGTAAGAATTAACTCACGAGATCTATAGACAAAACATTGCATGACCCAAGATATGGGTCCCATGGAGCCCTGCTGGGTGACCTCCACATATACAATAAAAGCACATAGTCTACGCAAGTGAACACAAGAACCACACAGATGCTGACGACTGAAATTGAATGACTGCTTGGAAAACTCCCTCCTACCATTTGACTCCTCAGGTGGTGTCAAATTCTAGCTTTTCACCGGATGCAACCCACAACAGTTGCCTAACTTCCAGGTATCTGTTTGCTGCTAAGCAAACAGATGCATCGGATGAAATAAAATGTACTCGACCCTTTCTCTTCAACCCAGGAATCGAACCCAGGTTGTAAGCCAAGGAGAATTGTTGCCACATGACAAGAGCACTATTCAACCTTACAAAGAGTAAAGGATATTATAATCTCCCCCTCCATCAAGAAAACACGTCTCCTGTTGGTAGCATTCATACTCGTAGCATGAAAGGGGACCTTTCTTGGAAGCACCAGCAGAATGACCAACTACCGTAATCCAGTGGCAACAGCACCAGGCTCGGCCACCATATTACAATATCAGGGAACCTGTAGTTCAGTGATCTATCCTCAACTTTCAATCTAATATCCCAGGCTAGATCTACAGGAAGGACAGAAGTGGTTGGGCACATTTCCTTTCACCTGATGCCTCTATTCACCTAGAAGTAAATAGATACTCCTAGAGTTAGGCAATTTTAATGGGTTGCATCCTGGAAAAGGTCAGATTTCAAAGTTGACATAGGGGGAAGGGGAACCTCAAAAAGCTTAAGTAAAAGCTTTCTCTCCCCGACAAGGTGAATAAATTGACCTTCAAAATGCTCTAAGGCAAAAGGTGCATATTTTTCTGCCAGAGATCTTTCTAGCTCTATTCCACACCTAAGGATGCTTGTGTGGTTTAAGTTGATTGTGGAAACAAATGAGGTCCTTTAAGTGTTATAGGCATATGTGGAAAAGGTGGGGTTCAATATAATTCAAACTTTAACTGTTCATTATTATGATGTACTATACAGTACTTGGTTTTGGTTACAGCCATTTTAGGCACTCTACACTCATCATTTTACCATGGACAGTGTCGTCTTAAATGTATCTGCCATCCTGAATCATTAAAGCTTTCTGGATGCAGAGAGCTTGGTATGTAAACAAAAACAGATATCTCTATCAATAATTCTGCCACTCAGAGGCAAACTTTTCAGTCAGAACAAACAGCTATTCAGCTTTATACAGGTGTCATAAAAGGGTAAAAGAATAACTGGAAAAAAATAGTCATTACAATGAAAGTCCCAAATTATTTTGCATGTACTGTATAGCAAATTCAAGTACGGGGCCTAGTCAGAGACCAGGCCACAGGGATGTTCATCCTTGGAATCGCCCACAAGGTAACCACAGGTACTGTACATTATCAGAACGTACAGCAAGGTTGATAACAGAAGATCCCATTTTGGAATGGTAAGTCTTTGTCCTCCATTATTTAAATGCACAAATCAAAAGTACTAAGGAAGCAAAAAAGAACACTGCCCTTGAAATGGATACGGTATTCCCCAACAGAAGGGGTGGTGGTAATTCTGTTCAATAATTAAAATGAAGGACTAGAAGCTAATGAACGTTTACCACAATGTTCTCAATGAAAAATTAAAACACCTGTAAGTAGGTAAATATTCCATATAATATACCTTCTCCAAAAATGGAGCTGTACAATCACCACCTGTAAAGATAATTGAACTATAAACAGAAGATTGGGATTTCACAGTGGTAAAAAGATAGTTCTATCGCCATATGTTCCCCTCAAGCTGTACTAAGGAACAGAATTCCTGTACATCTCCCTTGAAGGATAAAACATGTTCCAACCCAGCACGATCCCTTCCAGTTTGCATATAACCCACAATGGTTTCACCGACTGTTGTATTGCAGAGAACACCACTTTGAGTGCTCTTTCTAAGGACCCTTCACAAGTGTCTTCCCAGAGAAAAAACAAAAACAAAAAAAGCTCCATCCTACGTGCTTGCAAACTTATTTTAAAGAGGACGAGTTGTGATTTAGAGTTAGGACCATGTCAAGGCCTGGAGGTACATACAACCCCTGTTTCAACACTTTCTATATGCAAGTTACCACTGCAGAATATAGTGATTTGGCTGGGATAAAAGCTCTACCAACAGTCTGTGTATGGACAGTGTGCTACCTTGATGTAATTGGTAACAGAAGCTAATATTTGGTGAATTTTCTGAAAGGCTGTGGTGGATTGACAGCACCACAGAAGGATTGCCAGCTTACACCAGCACTTCCAAAGCATTCTCACAGCCCACTCAAGCTCATAATATTGTCTTCCTACCTCAGAGTCAGCAGACGTGACCAAGATTAGTGCCATAGGAGAAGGTGTGCCAAACCTCAATGACCTCATGGAGCCCAATTGTGACGCTCGGAGCTAAATTTGGGGAAAAAAAGGTACTTGCTTCTCTACTCAAATTTCCTTTTCTAGAAGTGTTAGCATTCAGAATTGAACTACATCAGCTTGTGGTGGTGTGAGAACTCAGCTGTGGGAGAAATCTGAGCATACAACAGAAGAGCTGATGCATGAGGGTAAGATTGGCAGGACGAGACCATGGTATAGGACTCTCCTTGCAGAAGGGCACAAGTGAATGACTTGCTTCTAACTTTAGCAAAACTAATTTTCAGAAGTGCCCCAATTCTTAGAATGTCTCTTACCATTCAGAATCTCTAGAGTACATAGCATGCCTTCCCGGGCAATAGAAGTAGAGCAAAGGACCAGGATTATGTGATGCTGTTTACATAAGAAATTTCCTAGTCATTATTTGCTTTATAGCAATAGAATCAGGTGACATGACCAGACTTTTCGCAATGACGGCATTCACGACCACTAAAAACATGTGGCTTAATGGATACCTATACCATGGTGGCCCCATGAACTTAAAACAGGATGAGGAAACCAAAAGCTTTAAGAGAGTGGGTGTCATACTTGGTTTTCTACCCATATTCTTCATTGGTTAACTTTCACAATCTACTTTCGCTCTTATTTTTTTAATTTGTCTTCGAAGTGTCACAGCAATATGAACAATGGAAACCACAACCCCCCACAGACTCTCAAGTGCGGCATGTTTCTCACATGAATCTGTGGCCCTGTTTTTATGCATTACTGTATTCTGCAAATCTTAGCACTCTCCAGGGAAGTTGCCATCAATGAAATCCTTTCTGGCCTCTACCCAAAAGCTGTTTTCCAGGCAAGAATAACTACAACCATATTTAGCTATTTGATAAGTTTTCCATCTACATCTGTACCTTGTATGCATACTTTTAATTCCCTGCAGACATCACTCGAGTCATGGCTTTTGTTTTAAACTCCTTACCTCTATGGTGGGTAGCTCTTCGGCCAGCATAAAAATTGTCATTAGAAATATGAACAAGGAATCGTTCAGGATCCTGTATAATATACTGTATATGTTAAAACAATTCTGGAATATATGATATAGCATGGAATCCACATTTTAACGAAGACAAAAGCTGGAAAAGGTTCAGAGATATTGACAGGGCAAGTAAGTTATTATCAAAAGAAGGCACTAAGCTGGGAAGACAATGTAGCACCATCTGACAGGAAGAAACAAGGATGGATTACATGAATGTGATTGTACATAATCAAGGGAACACTGGTTGAAATTAAATACTTGAATGATCCACATGGATATAATAGTTTTGTTAGGGCAGTAAATATATGGAATGCATTACGAAGTGGTGGCGGTAGACTTCACACATAGCATAAAATGTAGATATTGGAGCCCAAAGGACTTGTTACCCTGCATAGAAGTCAACTGAAGATCTAGAGGCAAGACCTACGAGCTGAAGCTCAACTATTCAAGTACAACTAGATTAGAACCTTTAGAGGCAGAGTCCCAATCATTGCTTGGTCTCCAAACAGGAGTCAAGCTGGAGGGGACTGTGTTTTAAGATCCGCCAGGATCACAGAGTTTGTCCCTAGGGAATCTTCCAGGGAAAGAAGACTTGTGGGCCTGGTCACACACCACACTAGCCTCAAGGGAAGAGGAAAATTAAGACATACAATATATAAAACACAGCTTCACTTCCTTTTACCTCCACCCACCAGGGACCAAGAGGGGTATTGACGCTTTCCAGTGTCCACTTGGCCCTAGTCAGTGCCGACCGTCCAATTAATTAAGCCAAGCTTTACTAAACCACCCAATATGCCCCTATTCCCCATCAGAGAAATGTGCCCAACCGCAAAGAGCTGAAGCCCCTGGGTAAACTAATTCCAGATGAAATGAAATTGGGAATACTGTATATTGGTCACCATGCACGAAAAATACATTGGTGATAAAGCCACAGTGGACAGTTTGACGTCACTCCTCACCATCGGCCAGAAAAGGAGCCTTATAAGCAACAACTACTGCCCTTAGCATTGCTGGAGAAGCTCAAACCACACAATAAAATTCCTGTTTTCAGGGACAGGAAGCCTGAACTCATTCTGTAAGATATCGAGATTCCTTCCTCCCCAGCGCTCAAAATAGAACTACTTGCTGATCTTTCTCAAGATGCAACCCACAAAAGTTATTTAACTCTCAGGTATCTATTTACTGCTGGGTGAACAGAGGCAACAGGTGAACAGAGAAGTACCCAACCATTTATGTCTCGCCCAGGGATCGAACCCAGGCTCCTTGACTACAGGACAGACGGTACTGTATTTCACATCCCTTTATAATACAGTATTCGAACTGCAATAAAACAACAATGCTTTTGCAATTGTGCTTATGTGTTACCTGAACACAGCGAGCTGCACCTTTGAGTTTGTAAAAGCAAGCAGGCTCATACTGTGTCCTAAAATCCACAGGTGTTTTACCGTCTGGCCTCGGTCTCTTAGAACAATTGGCCTTATTTTTTTTACTCATAATCAGGGATCCTAGATTCGAGTCTTATGTGGGACAAATATGACTGGGCACATTTTCTTTTGCCTAATGCCTCTATTCACCTAACAGTAAATAGGTGCCTAGGAGGTAAGCCACTGTTGTGGGGGTTGCATCCCAAAGGTCAGTAGTTCGACCTGGAGGGGCAAGGGGGATTAAAGGACCTCAATACAAGCCTCCATGACCCACACAAGAGCTTTCCATAGAGTAGTCTTCAGTACAGTCAATTCACAGCTGAAAGGTTCTAGGTTTGATTCCTGCACAGGATTTTTTTTTTTTTTTTTTTTTTTTTTTACATTTCCTTACACTTGATGCCTTTGTTTATCTAGAAGCAAATATATTGGACGTCTCAAAAATACACTCTGCTCTGCACCCTGAAGCTCTCAGACCTTCAGAGATAGCCCTGGGCGACGGAGCGTCACCATGCGCTCCCTCACACTCTCCAAGCTAGTTCATGGACCAGTGTAGAAGAGATATATTTTTATAATAAACTAAGGAAAAAGCAGCGGAAGTTTGGTACTCCAATTCCTGCCCACTACCGAGTAACCTTCGACCATCCCCGGTCAACAACAACCCAATCATTCTACAACAACATCAACCGGTGTTACAAATAGGCACCTTAGGAGTTAGGAAACTGTTGTTGACTGCATCATGAGGAGGGCAAGGTCAGCAGCTGGCCTAAATGAATTAAGACTGACTAACATTACACATTAATAATGCTAAACTAATATGTCTATTAGACTAACTTCAGTTTGAGTAACCCTCAACTAGGCATATTTATATTTTACATTAAGGTAAATTTTTTTTATTTACTGTACCATACTTTACTAATGTACAGCTTTTAGTAAAAAAGTAGAGTAATTGTACAAGTCCTGTACGTAAAATAAGTAATAACCTCAAAACCGATCGTTTGACATGGATAGGACATTCACATGAAAATTTATGCAAAAGATATCTGTCTATTCATGAGTGTAACACCGACGATTAATTCCACGAGGGAACTTTTTTCCTTGGTGGTTATATAGATCTCCTGATATTTAAAAATGTTAGTAATTAGTTAAATTTTCAAATACCCCTGCTCTAGAGCTAATAAAAAATGTAAAATACGGTATATGCCAGAACTATTCAATAAAATGGAAATTTAAAGTGTAACATGGTTGTATCAAAGTTACACTGTACTGTATAGTATACAACAAATAACTGAACAATGGCTTTGATGCACGTGCACAGACGTTTTAAACAAACTCTAGTAACAGTATATTTTAATTTGGCAGTATAGGTACATAGTACTGTATTACACTTTAGCTCTAAACAAAACGTATCTTACCTGTGCCATCATTGTCAGTATTACCACTAGCTGCACTTCCCGTTTCCATGGCCGAAGGGCTAGTGGGCTCCATGTGATCCGTCTCTGTATCTCGACTGGTATCCGCACTTGTGTCGTCCATTTCAGAGGTTGGACCCGACGTAACAGTACCGCCAGATTTACTAATCAGTGGATCTCCTGTATCACTCGTTCTGTCGTTGGCACCACTCGCACCCCGCTCACACAGTGTGTTGTCACCATCATCATCCGAGTCAGTTTCAATAAGCCTGGTCCGATAGCTTCTCGGTCTTCTTGCCCTTCTGCCAAAGACAACAGAAGTTTCTCCATCTTTTTTGTCATTTTCAGACTTCACTTTTTTATTCCCTTCCTCATCAGATATCTCAGATCTTTCACTAGGGACACTCGCATCTTCTTTACTTTCATTGTGTTCTCTTTTGTTACCTCCATTTTGTACTACAGTATCACTATCCTCCTTTGTGCAACATGCTCCACTATTTAGATTCCGTAAGGAGGTCTCGGCTTCCTCTGCCATTTGAAGACCAACTACCTGGAAATGTATACAGGTGTTTAAATATTTTGCATTCATCGTGTATCATTCAGATCTACAAACAAAATTTGTTATAATGAATTCAGGGATTTCTGATCCCTGAATTATAAAGTTTATAAAGACATTAAGAAGAGGTTTAATACAGAAATTAATGTTCTCTATAATAAAAAAGAAAATGTAAATCACCTCACCTCTACTTCTATTTACAACAACACTACTTACCATGTTTTAATGGCAATATCGTTTAGGCACTTGTGCCTAAACACACGACAGCCGATCCTATCTTTACCCATATTAATCAAAATATATTTGACCTTTGTCTAATAATTTAATTGAAATATTTTGGCATTTTTTATGTAAACAAAAAACTTACAATAAGCTTGTTAATAATTAAAACATGAAGTTCCAAATTTCCCCGTTTTCTACTTGACCGACTCTACCATCCAAGACTGACACATGGCATTATTTGATGGCCTAGTATCAGAGAAATACGCAGTGAACTAAAGAAACTTTTCCATATCTGGCCTTATGCTACCTAAATTCTTGGAATAACTAATCTGACTCTTATGTGATTGGTCTGGCACTCATTGGCAGACCGGAGGGGCGGTTTGTTCGAAAAGCCATTCCTTCACACAGCCAATCAATGTGTATCGAGTTTCTCCATGCAAGATAATACATGGCATCAAAAATCACTTTAATGCTTTGCAGATGGCTACTAATAACACTCATTATATTTGATCAAGAAGCAGTTCAAGCATGAGGAATTGTGTTTCACCTATTATTAGGCAGAAAACTGATTGTAGCAGGCTGTCTTGCCACTTCACATGCACTTTTTTTTATTTATAATAGTGATCTTGTCATTATAATGGCCAAGAAATAATAAATTACCCTGGAAGGTGGGACATAGCACCTGTCACTCCTTCAGCCACACCTCTGGCATCATCGTATTATTTACAGTACCAGTACAGTATTTTGAGCCACCGCCTGAAAAATTAATTATGAATTTGTTGAAGGTAGCCTGTAATGAAACTAATAATGATTCGGCAAGTGCTATGGCATGAAACCACTTTAGGCTGCCTATGGAAGGTTGTATTTAAATTGGGTATAGTAAACAAGTAATAATTTTATTGATAAATAATTGGTATGAATGTAAATAGTTACTTATATATAAAATTACACAATCAAATCAAATCAAATCAAATGTTTATTTAGGTAAGGTACATACATACAAGAGGTTTTACAAAGAGTGATGGATTTATAGATAGGGCTAGTACATACAATGCCTAAAGCCACTATTACGCAAAGCGTTTCGGGCATGAAGGGCAATCTATTCTGTACGTGTAATACTCGGGTGACCAAACTAGGAGAACTTGTTACACGTTTGGCCACACGTGTCAGAGTTTAGCCAGGAAGGTTATATCATCCATTTGTGAAAGATTTCCACTAGGACAGGTATAAAAATTAATAAAATTATTAAAATTATTCCTATCTCCATTTCATTACTATATCCTTCTTAGAAAAATACACTCAGTACGCGTTTGGTCCAAAATCTATGTGGCTGAGAATCGTCAACTGCTACCCAAATATTTGAGTTTATTCCTTAGGAATAACCAAGGCGTAAAAACTGATGTTAATGTGCAAGGTAACGCTCTGCACTGACAGTAATGGTGGTACAGTATTTTCAACCAATTTTAAAACACAACTTAGTTTAAATGACACTGATTGGGCACACAGCTTTCTAATATCTACTTGTGTCATTCTAAAGTTTAAGAACTGTGCATTCACATGAAAAAAAAAGAGCCAACAAATTCAATCACATACAGAAGAGTCCTTTACATTTGATGATCAATAAAATTATTTTCTTACCTTCATAAAACTCAAAACTTCTACTTTTTATTGTTTTATATTAGAAACTGTGTGTTTCAACATGTTACTGGAGTATTTTGTTCTTTTCAATAGTGCAGGTGCTAAGGTTTTTTTAACCATCAGCCGTCGAACACTGGTAACCTCACCCTACCGAGCTGTACTGTACTGTATTCGAGTGTAGCACACCAAAATACAACTGTTGCAAGAACCTCTATGAAGACTAGTATACATGTAGAGCTCCATTCTTACATGGAAGTTTGGAATTGAAAACAATCATGCAAGTGCAATTTTACATTCTCTAAATATGCACCTAGAAAAGGCTGCCATTATTATACAATAGACTATAAAATTAGTCTGGGTAAAAAAAAAATTGCCATAAAATGAAGAAATAATTTACAGTACAGTATCTGAGAAAAAAAATAAATATTCACTAAACACATAAGTAGTTAACCTGTCAAGAAATGATGATGCGCAATCAGAGAGCAATGCTAATAGTCAAATTCACAATGGCCTTTATGAAGATTCAAGCCTACAGAGCCCAAGGGCATGGGGTAATTGTGTGAAACCCCAGTTAGGCTGGGGTTTCACACTATATTTTATAGTGTGAAAACATAAGAAAAACAGAAAACACTACAAACCACAGTACCAACATTGGTACTGTAGTTTGTAATGGTGGTGGTGATGCTGCTTTGGTTTATAGTGGTGGTGGTGCTAGTGCTGCTTTGGTTTATAGTGGTGGTGGTGCTAGTGCTGCTTTGGTTTATAGTGGTGGTGGTGCTAGTGCTGCTTTGGTTTAGTGGTGGTGGTGGTGCTGCTTTGGTTTATAGTGGTGGTGGTGGTGCTGCTTTGGTTTATAGTGGTGGTGGTGGTGCTGCTTTGGTTTATAGTGGTGGTGGTGCTAGTGCTGCTTTGGTTTATAGTGGTGGTGGTGCTAGTGCTGCTTTGGTTTATAGTGGTGGTGGTGCTAGTGCTGCTTTGGTTTAGTGGTGGTGGTGGTGCTGCTTTGGTTTATAGTGGTGGTGGTGGTGCTGCTTTGGTTTATAGTGGTGGTGGTGGTGCTGCTTTGGTTTATAGTGGTGGTGGTGCTAGTGCTGCTTTGGTTTATAGTGGTGGTGGTGGTGCTGCTTTGGTTTAGTGGTGGTGGTGGTGCTGCTTTGGTTTATAGTGGTGGTGCTAGTGCTGCTTTGGTTTATAGTGGTGGTGGTGGTGCTGCTTTGGTTTATAGTGGTGGTGGTGCTAGTGCTGCTTTGGTTTATAGTGGTGGTGGTGCTAGTGCTGCTTTGGTTTATAGTGGTGGTGGTGGTGCTGCTTTGGTTTATAGTGGTGGTGGTGCTAGTGCTGCTTTGGTTTATAGTGGTGGTGGTGGTGCTGCTTTGGTTTATAGTGGTGGTGGTAGTGCTGCTTTGGTTTAGTGGTGGTGGTGGTGCTGCTTTGGTTTATAGTGGTGGTGGTAGTGCTGCTTTGGTTTATAGTGGTGGTGGTGGTGCTGCTTTGGTTTATAGTGGTGGTGGTGCTAGTGCTGCTTTGGTTTATAGTGGTGGTGGTGCTAGTGCTGCTTTGGTTTATAGTGGTGGTGGTGCTAGTGCTGCTTTGGTTTAGTGGTGGTGGTGGTGCTGCTTTGGTTTATAGTGGTGGTGGTGCTAGTGCTGCTTTGGTTTATAGTGGTGGTGGTGGTGCTGCTTTGGTTTATAGTGGTGGTGGTGCTAGTGCTGCTTTGGTTTAGTGGTGGTGGTGGTGCTGCTTTGGTTTATAGTGGTGGTGGTGCTAGTGCTGCTTTGGTTTATAGTGGTGGTGGTGGTGCTGCTTTGGTTTATAGTGGTGGTGGTGGTGCTGCTTTGGTTTATAGTGGTGGTGGTGGTGCTGCTTTGGTTTATAGTGGTGGTGGCACTGATTTACTTACCTATCAGTGCCTATCGGTGAGTGAGATCTAGCTCTTTGTGCCCAGCCTCCTAGCCATATATATTTAGCATGCTAATTACTTTATCAACATTAAGAAAAATACGATGAAAACATTACAATTGTTGATGGAATTGGCTTCATCAATCTCTTCCTTCAATGCATTCCAGATGCCAACCACACATACAGAGAACAAGAACTTCCTTACATCTCTAATTCAACTGCATGACCAGCTTCCACTGATGTCGCCCTTGTCTTACCTCCTTTTAATTCAAATAGGTTCCCTTTATCCACTTGTCTATTCACCTCAGGATCTTTTATGCAGTGATCATACTCCCTATGCTGCTTCTCCTCTACAGTTGCTTGGGTGAGTTTTCCCAATCAGTCCTCATAGATGAGCTCTCTTAATTCTGGTACATATCTGGCTGCAAACCTCTGAACTTTTTCAAGCTTTATTTTGTGCTTCACAAGATGAGGATACCATGCTGGTGCTGCATACTCTAGCAGTAGTCTCACGAGCGTAGCTCTCATCCTGTAACTACACTTAGGTAATTACATAAGTAGTCAATATGGACTTTAAAGCCACCTCCTCTTAGAGTTCTAAATGATGTTCTTATGTTTGCTAACTTCCCATATGCTGCAGATGTTATTCTGCTCACATGAGTCTCTAGTGTTAGTGTTGGGATTATATGTATCCCCAGGTTTTTCTCTCATTGTTTCTTGTAATTGCCTGTCCCTTTTGGTGCAGTTAAATACAGGTCGTCTCTCCCCCTTACCCGTTTTCAATACTTTACACTTACTTGGATTTAATTCCAGCCGCCATTTATCTGCCCAGTTCTGAAGTTTGTCAAGGTCACAAGTGGCCCGGGAAGTAGAACTCCTCCTGAAGCCCTCTCCAGGTTTTTTCCAGGTCTTCTTGCAGCACTCTGCAGTCCTCTTCAGTTCTTGCGTCTCCTCATTAACTTTGCGTCACCTGCAAACATCGACATGTGCGAGCTGACTCCCTCTGGTAGGTCATTTATATAAATCAGAAAGGGCAAATGGTCCTAGAACAGATGCCTGTGGAACACCACTTTCCACTCCTCTCCAGCCTAGCTTATCCTCTCCGACTATGACCCTTTGTTTCCTGTCCATTAGGTACTCCTGTACCCACTCCAGTGCCTTTCCTATTATCCCCACTTGTCTCTATTTTGTGTATTAGTCTTTTGTGAGGAACTGTATCAAAAACTTTCTGGCAGTCTAGGAAGATGCAGTTTAGCTATCCTTCCTTCCTTTTGTCATATTTTGGTGACCCTATCACTGAATTCAATCATGTTAGCTAAGCATGATTTTCCCTTTCTGTAGCCATGTTGTGGCTGTTAAAAAAATTACTCCTGAAATGTTCTACAATCCTTTTCTTGAAGACTTCTCCAGTATTTTGCATGGAATGCATGTTAATGACACTGGTCTATAGTTTACTGCTTCATGTCTGTTCCCTTTCTAGAATATTGAGACTACATTTTCATTTTTCCAGATTTCCAATAGCCCTCCTGTCTAGTGTAATGTTGAACACTAGAGTTATTGGATAACACAAGATCCCTGCAACTTCCTTCAGTGACATTGGTGACATCTAATCTGGTCCTACTTTTTTCGTTTTTTTTTTGCTAGAGTTCTTTCAGAATTCTTTTTACCTGTTCTACATCAACTTCAACTCTATTTAGTGTTGCTTATAGTTGTATGATGTCATCTCTCCATGGACACAATCTGGTTCCGGTTTGTAGACCTCCTGGAACCTTGTTTGGTTCTTCACGTGTGTCAAGTGTGTTTCGTCCTCTCAGTCTGATACATGGTCCCATACCTATGTCATCCTCCATACATGACTATGCAACAGCTTAGGGTTGTGGGGTTGGTGCAGGTGCAGAGGCATGTCAGTGCTTCCAGATCTGTGGGTTGGAGTTGGGGCTCCTCCAGAGATCTGGTGGTGGTGGTGGTGGTGGTGGTGGTGGTAGTGGTGGTAGTGGTGGTGGTGCTGCTGCTAGTCCAAAGATCTGTAGGGAAGTGTGGGTGGTGGTGGTTCTGTTTCAAAGATCTGTAGTTGGTAGTGGTAGTGCAGCTGCTGGAGAAGCCTGTGTGGTGGTGGGTGGTGGTGGTGGTGGTGGTGGTGGTGGTGGGTGGTGGGTGGGTGGTGGTGCTGCTGCTGCTGAGTTATTGTTCATAAAGAGAAGGTGAAGCAATTGTGAGATAAAAAAAACAAAGGTAGAGACAGACAGACTGACAGACAGACAGACAGACAGACAGACAGACAGACAGACAGACAGAGACAGGCAAACAGAGAAAAAGACAGACAGACAAATAAACAGAGAAAGAGACAGACAGACATACAGAGAGAGAGAGACATACACAAACAGAGAGACAGACACAGAGACAGACAGACAGACACAGAGACAGATACACACACACACACACACACAGAAAGACACAGTCAGACAGAGACAGAGAGAGAGACAGAATTAATTATCTTCCTTATGACTATTAAAAGTCTAAAAATAATGGCAAAATGATTATGGTAAGGTATAAACATGATGACATAACCTGGGAATCTTTATTAGACAATACACACAATATTTTTGTATGAATCATTGTTTTGCACATATCACCATATTCAAGTATTACTGGGCAGGCTAGCTGATCAAAAGTTGTATTTATTTTATACAATTTAGGCCTATGGTTCATGTTAAAACCTAGTGGTTCCCAAACCCTTTACAGTCATTACCCCTTTTTCATGCAATGTCCTTACTAATGGCACCCTACAGTCGATAAAGACCCCCTCTGGTATCATAAGCTGTACATTGCCTCAACATATGGCCCCTTACATATTGCCAAAAAGGCCCCCCCCATCCCTAGTTTGGGAACCAGTGCATGGCCTAAATGTTTAGAGCAATGTATATGTGCATGTATGTATGGGTTTGTGTATACATACAGTATATGTGCATTATGCCAATCATTATTTGTAAATTTATGTAATCTTGTTTTCCTTGGCTGTATAACAGTTTTTTTACACAAGAATACAGGTTATATTTTATTTAGCTTTTGCTAACCAAGGTTAGATAAAATTATGAATTCTAAGTAGAACCTATTGAACATGTTAGGCTAAGAAAATTGGCGTTATGCAGGAAGTTTTCAAGATAATCAATTATAAAGTTTGATAATACACCTATCAAATTTATGCAATTTCTAAAACAATAAATTAGACAACTTCAGTGGGACTAATAGTAAATAGCCATCTGACACTATATGATATTACTAGATGTAGATACTGTATTGTCCAAATATATAAGCAACTATGAAACTATTGGGCATATCCTTTCAAGACAAAATCTATTTCAACACCTTATTTTTGATAATTTATTTTTCCCACACCACTGTGTTGGGGTAGGAAGGCCTACTCAAGGTGCGTCCAAACTATTCAAGGGTTTCAAGGAAATTCTAAGATATAATTATATTTCATAGAAGTTCAGTGCTTAAGGAGACTATCCTAAAAACTTTAACTATTGAGTCTCAAATTCATCAAACTCTTATTTATATACAAAACTTAACATTGCTTGCCAACTAACTTCATCTGTCAAAATAGATGTCATTACCATCATTCTGCCCGAAACGCTTTGCGTAATAATGGCTTTAGGCTTTGTATGAACTATAATTGAACTATTGTATGAACTTTGTATGAACCATAAACCTATCAATATTTGTATCTCACCTTGTATACATATACTTTACCCGAATAAACATTTGATTTGATTCATGCTTTAACGACGAAATAAAAAAAAAAGTGAATATATATATATATATAACCACCTCAGCTCTCCCTGCTGGACCAGTCAAGACGTTCCAACAAACCCAAGCAAGACATAAAGAACATTAAAAACCCCTATAATCACGCCCAATCTATCATATTTAAGCAGCTATGGCTCTCGTGAAGTAGGAAAAACAATGCATCAGCTGTATATCACCCCCAAACAAAAGTGCTTATCACAAACACTGCGACTCTCGTCTCCCACCAGAGAATGTAAACAAAGTGAAAATGGTCCTTACTGTCTATTTTTAGCAAAAATCCAGCATAACCGCAGCGGGTATCCAGGCGGGAGGACTGGCGAGAGAGCAGGGAAGCAGGAGAGCAGGCAGGCCAGCAAATAAGACAGGCAGGAGAGGGTTTACAAGACAGGAGAAGGTGCCACAAACGTCTCCACCAAAGGAGTCTACTAAGATGGTTTGTTGTCGTCGGGCTCGGCAAACAACTGCCAACTGCGATGTTAACATTTTTCTACCCTCGTGTATTTCGGGAATACGGCCGCCGGGGATGGCGATCGAGTTAAGGAGCTGGCGAACATCTTGCGGGGGAAAATATTAGCAAGAGCCTTAAAGGAGTTATAATTGAGGGAGGTAATATTTATAAGGTCTCAGCAACATCAGCTGGTTCGTACCAGCTGATTGGCGAGCCGCTGGCCCGCTGGATATAAATGTCGCCCTCGGCACAATTACCTCTCACGCTTTAATCATTTTGTAACTAGCGGCAAAAATTGTTATTTGCTTAGCTAAACGAACTAGAGGGTTCAGTTCCTGAACCGATTATGTGCCTCTGTAATCCTTTACACCACCGCCTACGGGATGGGTATGGGGTGCATAATAAAGAAAGACATTGAATTGCTCATTTGCTAAAAGTACAAAGTCATAATACATAATAAATAAATACATTTTGGTTCAGGAAAAGGACATACATAGTTGATTTACAAACATAATGTTGGATTTATATATAGAGGTAGTACATACAATACCTAAAGCCATTAATACGCATAGCGTCTCGGGCAAGCATTAATATTAATATTATACTTATATACTTATTAATAAAGTAATTAAATTTACGCAAATATATATATAAATAGTACCTAAGAGCCAAAATGCATTACTTCGCCTAATTATGCAAGACTCGATTTGCCTAATATTCAGTCATTCTCGTTATTTTCAAATTGCCTTATTTGAATTAATATTATTATATTATTTTAAGAACATGAAATACTGACATGTTTTTTTATATTAGGATTGGTTAGCGTAGGTTTGGTAGGTTAGTTTAGATTTCATCAAATTTCTATGTTACTTTTAACTAAAATTAAACCAAATTATAATCATATATATAATGTAATACTAAGTTTCATCATTCCATACAAAAAAGTTTAGAAAGATATATAATTTTAAGAAAACTCGGCTTGTTAAGCAATTTGGTCTATTAGGTACAACATAAATCTACTCCCTACTCTTCCTTCCTTCTCCTCTTCCTTCCCTTTCCCTCCTCCCTCAACCCCCTCTTCCACTCCTTCCCTTTCCGTCTCCATTCCCTCCTCCTCCCTATCTCCTACAATATCACTACTTTTAACACTTTCTGAACACTTAATAATAATAATAACAACTCCTCACATAATTGGTTCAACACACTAAACCTCACATCTCTGGAAGACAGAGGACTAAGGGGTGACATGATCACGACCTACAAAATTCTCATTGGAATTGACAGGGTGGACAAAGACAAACTATTTAGCATGGGTGGAACACAAACAAGGAGACACAGGTGGGAACTGAGTGTCCAAACTTCCCAAAGTATTTGTAGCTGAGTCTCAGCCGAGCCCGAGGACAAATACTATACCAAGAACACCAGCAAAATTAACCCATGTCGTTAAATTTGCAGATGACAAATTATCAATAGTAAAGCAGGAAGCGAAAACGATAAGACATCTACAAGAACTCCACAAATGGTCAGAAGATCGGCAAATGCTTTTCAATATTAAAAAGAAAGCAAGACCTTGCACGTAAGACATAACAACGCATATCACAGCTATCATATATTAATTAGTTTTGTCGAGGATATTAATCCTATACACTGTATATACATAAATACCTAAAGCTTATATCCAGGAGCCAGATTCACGAAAGCACTTACGAACCTGTACATATTTTCTCAATCTTTGGCGGCTTTGTTTCCAATTATTAAACAGTTAATGAGCTCCGAAGCACCAGGAGGATGTTTATAACAATAACAACAGTTGAATGAGAAGTTTTCATGCTTGTAAACTGTTTAATAAATGTAACCAAAGCCGTCATAGATTGAGGAAAGATGTACACGTTCGTAAGTGCTTGCGTAACTGCTTCGTGAATTTGGCCCCAGGTCTCACCCCCCCCCCCAGGTGGAACTACTGATCCTCCCCAGGATGCAACCCACAACAGCTCAGGAATCTGTACACCTGTTGATTGACGGTTGAGAGGCGGGACCAAAGAGCCAGAGCTCAACCCCCGCAAACACAACTAGGTGAGTACAACAGTTAACTAACTCCCGGGTTCAAGTTCTAGTACGTTTACTGAGACAATAAAATACATCTCAAAGTGATAGAGTAGCTTAGGCTACTATCGACTTGAGAATTGTCCAGGACGGACCGAAACGTCGTCGTCCCTTCACCTTCTAGTGTGTGGTCTGGTCAAAATAGCTTAGGCTATTTCTACCCTCCTCAACTCCCGGATACCTATTTACTGCTAGGTGAATAGAGGGATTCACCTGGGATTCGAACACGAAATTTCCAGTTGTGATTCGAAAACGAAACCAACTGTACATCAGGAAAAATGGAGAACCTTTGACAAGCCATCAGCTTCTTGTCCTTGTCGAGGCCACTAAAGAAACGATGGGCCTCAGGTAAATTAAGGTAAATATCAACAATGGGTTCAAGAACTCGAGTGTAACAGTCTCTAAGGTAAGCACTTTACATTTGCGGTAACCTTGTTACATATAATTTGTATTAATGATGCTCGTTTGAGTGCAAGGAGCATAAAATATAATTGGGGGTTATAAAATATAAAAAATGGGGTCCAATCACTTGCAAAGTACCTCAAGTCCATCACCCAGCAAAAATCTATCAGAACAATAAGAAACTCTGCTCTCAGACAACACTCAGCCCCCCCCCCTGTTTAAATCCCTAAACATGCTAAACATAAACTCACTCCACACATTCTCTTGTGCAGTTTACATTTACAAAACCCTGTTCTTAAACGCAAACCATGCTATGAAAGTCTCCCTGGACAGATGTAATAGGACCCATAATCACCACACCAGAAATATATATCTCTTTGATATCCCCCAGAGTCAAACTTAATTTGTGTAAACAATCTATGCAAATAAAAGGACCTAGTCTATGGAACTCACTCCCTAATGAATTGAAAAGCTGTCCAACTTTTGCCTTATTTAAAAACAAAAACAAAAAAGTACCTAATTTTATCTTCATAGTTTCCTACCTAGTGCCTTAAACTCGCACTGTATCTAGTGCTACCCAATCCCTCAATATATATATGTACCTAAGCCATACAGCTTTACCATTGTGATCATTACTGTCATCTTATATGTGCTATCAATATGCTTTATTGTGCCTACTTATCTTGGTCAAATTATCAATCATAGCTATCAGTGTGCTTTAATATATCTACTCAAATTTTCTTACAATGTACCTGTTAACATTTTATAAATTTTGCTAGAATTTACCTACTTAATATATAAATAAATAAATAAATAATAAATTGTGAAGAATTGGGGCTCAGTATAATTCGAAAACTTTTCCCATGCCGGGAATCGAACCCGGGCCTCCTGGGTGAAAGCCAGGTATCCTAGCCACTAGACCACATGGGACATACTATGCAGGGAAGCATAACTTTATGTGAATAAAGGCAAATAGACCCCTGGTAGTGTATAATTTGGGTATTAGGGGTAGGGTTGAGGGAGGAGGACGAATGGTTCATGGTGTAACTAAAGAAAGAACTATGACTAATCCCTCCCATCTTCCCCCTACATGACATAATTGAACACTCCGGAAAGCCACGGAGTCTCGGATAATACTGAGGTTCATAGAGGAAGGTGGTTATATATAGTAGTATATGATTAGACTTGAGTAAGGAGAATCAATACTGCAGATGAAAGGGAAATCAATAACAGGGACATGAGGAATTTGCGTTAAAAAAGGCTCATTCAATCCAATACTTCTTGCAGTGTGGTGCTGCCGGTTTCGTTATATTTTTTTCAACGAATGTGTATTATTATTATTATTATCATTAACACGCTCAGGTGCGCAGTGAAGAGCAATGTACATATGCTTGATAAGATGAGAATATTACAAACCACATCGATATCATCAAATTTCTTGATTGTACAGTTGTGTGCGTCGGGTACGTGAAACAAAACACCATTAGGCGATATAACTTTTTATATCACCTAATTTTATTTTTATATCGAAAGTGTTAATTTTAAATATTAATAATAAAATATTTGCAACTGCAGTTGCATAAAATTTCCAGATTATACAGATATTTGAGGCAAAGTCGGAAGTGAAAATAATATTACGGGTTTGCAGAGACATCAGCATGAACTTCACATATGGTCGTAAGGCTAGTAAATGCTATTTAATATAAAAAATGCAAGACCTTGGATATTGGGCATAACAATGCACATCACAACTACCAAATTAACAACATTACCTTACACGAGATTAATGAAGAAAAGGACATTTGAGTCAGACTACACAATTTCATGGGTGGCTGAGTTTAATGCCCTTTTATATCTCATAATCAATGATGTTCATTGATTATTGAAGTCCCCAAGATGGTCTTGGGGACCATCTTGGGGACCAAGATGGTCCCCAAGTGGTGTCATGAGGACACCACTTGGGGACCATCTGTTCCTCAGAAGGCCTGTTCTACTTAGCAACGAGCTTCCTAGCCTCTTCCTTGACTGTCCACTTCAGGAACCCCCAATTTCTAAAACAAAGTACATAATCGCTCTGGGGTCTAGTTGCACTCCAAGTTGACACTCGTAATTCGTTTTATCCTCGTCGCTAGTTAGTATGAGAATATTGTCTTTTTCAAAGATGTAGGTTAGCAAGAGGAGATAGGAATGCAGGTTCGAGTCCTTGAAGTAGACTCTTGTCTGCAGACATCTATCCTTATCTAGATTACGCAAGCATCCAGGAACAGCTGTTTCTTGGGATTCTATTCCGCCGAAAAGCTTAGGTTCTCATGTATCTGGTTTGCCCCCGCATGGAAATCTTGTACAGCTGGCTGCCCTTCTGCCATTACTCCAAAAATATCATCTATGAACCCAAAGTAGAGGTGCGGGGCTGTGACATACTTCATCCTCAGGTCCTCGACGGCTGTGTGCATGAACACCTCAGTTGTCACTACTGACACATTGTTTGGTTCACTTAAGGAAAATGCGGCTTGCGTCATCTGACGATTTTCAGTGACGTTTAATTTTCCTTTTATTCTATAAGAAAATAAAACAAAATTTAAGGGAAACTCTTTATCCAAATTTCAAAAACTAATTCTAATATCAGAATGTAATTACAAATATATGAAATTCCTTATACCCAAAGAATTTTTCAACATTTTTAATTCATGTGTAAAGAAGTAACAATAAATATTTAAGACAGACATTATTGTCCTCTTCCAGAGAGATCAGCCGGGGCCTTCGGGAGCCGCAGCTTCTGGACCTCCTCCTGCGCCTGCGGGCTGATGGTCAGGCCCCACCGCTGGTAGTGAAGGATCAAGTCAGCTCCTACAGTGTGACTTAGTTGTTTGTAGACGTAGTCATACTGGTGTTGAGTGCTGGAGGCCAGTGTGTTGGCTTCCTCCCGAGACAAAGCCCGGGTGGTGATGTTCAGTTGTCTGAACATCTCCCATCCATGATGGGGAAATGCATGTTTAATTTCCATGAGAAACACCAGCTTCTGCCAGCAATCTGCTTTTTTAAATGTTAACCCTCCGTCCACAGCTGCGGCCGTCTTCATATATTGATTTTCCTTTTTCAGGCGGTCCTCACCTTTTAGTTTCTCTTGAATATATAAAGAAAACAAGTTGACAGTTGACTCGCTTCCATAAGCATATGACCACCATTTTCCTTGCTGGTAATTGTGACCTAGTTCGTGCCAAGTAACCCAGTCATGTGGTGTAGACAAGCAGCACAGGTCATAGTACTGCCTGTCAAACATGGCTGGGAAGCCAGCGTGGGCACTTCCGGCAGTTATCTGGACGTCGTCGACCAACCACTGCTTCCCTCGTGGAGGAGGATCACTCTCGTCGAAGCCAGACACAAACTCCAGTTTACGGATCACATCGTCGTACCGCCTCAGTAGCTCGTCAAGGTTAGTGATTTTCCTGGCAGAAAGTGTGGGAACCACTACCACTACTACATCTGTTTCTAGGATAGAATATGGTGCATCCAGCTGCCTTAATGTCTTCCATTCTTCAAAGTTAGTTTTTCCCATAATATAATGTGGAGCCTTGACAACATTTCTTACTATGACATGAATCTTAAAATTATCACCATCATCAAACATAAATACCAAGTTTCCACCAAACTGGCTGCGTATGCAGTTCTCACCGGGTTGAACATCAAACTCCTCCGTCACAACTGGCATACGATTGAACCCCTTCCCTGATACATTATTTGACGTTGGCTCCAGACAGTCACACTGCGCTCCAACACGCACTGAGATCTGTGACGCCCTGGCGGGTGTGAGTGTGTCCGGCAATATCACCTGGAACACATCACCAGCTGCAACATACAGGTCAGTGGCCTGCCAGTCCTCAGGCACAGTCATGCGGAGGTTTTCACGTTGTCGTAGTCCGGTGATGTTTAGAGTGAGGGTCTCGGTGATCCTGGGGGTGGTAGGTGCCACACGGCCTGGGAAGCGGTCAACGTCCCTGGCGTGAGGCACTGGCTGCGACAGAGGACTCAACTTGTTGATCAGACCTCGGGCCACTTCTTGCTTGTACGTGTTATTGTCTCGGGCAGAAAATGGATATACACTGCGACGCGATGCATCTTTAAGTCCGGAGAGCGTCCACCACATCTGATTTATACCACCATGTTTTGGGTACACAATAATACGCGTTCGAGGCTTCTCCCAGGGTACATCCATAGCGTAGTTCCCCACGGTCATTACCCCATTTGTACTGATGTTCCAGGTAGGCAAGTTGGGACTCCAGCGTTCCAGCTTGAGGGAAGAGGAGCGCAAGTCCGGCACGAGGCAGAGGGAACGGTTACATCCCCACAGCCAGCAGTTGTCTCTCAGGAACCATTGTTGCCTGGTGCTGCCCTCATACGGCGCCAGGCCAACCACGGCGTCCTGAGGACCTGCTCCACTCACCACCGTCACGAATGTGTGGGTGCTCTGGCTGATTATATAGTCAGGTGCCTCTGTGGGTAGGGAAATGTTTGGTAATAGATGATATAACTGAAATTATTTACACCACTGACAATGAAATACAATTATTGCTAAATATTGAGAAAATAAAGCAAATATGTCAGCAAAGTAAATAGACATATGTATACAAGATGTTAGGGCTGTAGGCAGAGACAGTGTGACAGTGACCGCACTGTATATATATTTGTTCTTTTGCACTTATTTTTTCCAGATAAATATTTAAGAAGACCCAGCGTAGCGGTGTCGTGTACTCAAAAAGACCTCTTCCCCCTGTCAAGAGCCTTACTCACCCACCTTTAATCGTGCAAGACGACCGAAGTTTTATTTTAAATGTATCTGATAGGAGGCAGGCTGCCTATAAATTTGAGTTTTGTTAATTTGTTCAAATTCAAGGGAGTAGCCTAGCCGACTATTGTTCAATTTGGCAGCGGCAGGCGTCATCGCCTGAGGCAACAAGGGGGTAGAAATAGCCTAAGCTACTCTATCCCTTTGAGAGGTATTTCTTTCTTTCTTGTCTCAATAAACATACTTAAACTTGAACTTGAACTTGCCTGAAGCAAGATTTTGGCCCCAAGAATATAAGCAAGGTCCCAGGTGCCGCGGATAAAGAATTGACATGTGACTTGGTGTAAGTGGCATGAATCTGTCAATCATTGAGTGACTCAAGATAACGTGAAGAGTAAGAAGCTGTTGTGTCTCATTGGCCCTCAGCTCGTCACTGTTGCCCGAGAACTCATAGCGGGAGGTCGTGTCAGAATCTTAGTGGATCTTTGACTGCGCATCATGTCTGGCAGTAAGGAGAAGCCAACAATAGCGGGTTTATGCAAAGACTGACCTGTTTATACCTTCTGTGAGAAGATTTTTCGTCGAATCCACCAAGTTGAAAAGTTGGGACGTAACAAGAAAACCGTCGGGAGTTGAGCACTGTCACGTCAAGTTGTTACGATTACTCTACAGCCTATCTCTAGGGAACCTTGTGACTTTTAAGTACAGTCCTGCTTTCATAGTGACTGTGGCCAGTGGAAGTACCACGGCGAGGGAGTATATACCTAGAAATATTCCTACATAATAATATACAAGAGTCTTGTTTCACTTACCTGAACAGTGACAGTCTGTCGTCCACTGCTCAATCTCACGTTGGCACACCTGTGTGATGTCACATGGCAGGCACTGGTCAATGTGGTAGGGGGCGCCTGCCAGGCATGTCTTGAGCCCTGACAGTGTCCACCACTTCTGGTTGGTATATGTGTGCTTTTGATACATCAACACGCGGGTCCTGGGCTTCTCCCACGGTACATCGAGCGCCAGCGAGCCCACAACCATCCTATCAGCTTCGTCTAGCGTCCACACCACACGGGAGGTGGCGGAGGGCGCCAGACCCACGCTGCCCTTCCCATCGGGTACCAGACAGTAGGAGCGGTCGCCGCCCCACTGCCACTGTCCCTTATGGACGTACCACTGCTGCTTCACGCTGCCCATGCACTTGGCCATGGCCAGCACCGCGTCAGCAGGCGTCGTGCCCTTGACCACCGTCAGGCAGGTGTGACTGCTCTGGTTCACCAGGTACTCTGGTCCTTCCTCATCACCTTGGAGTCCTGCCATCAGTAACCTGTAAAACAACCTTAATCAACATCCATACATGATAAATCTCTTGACGTAATGAATACTTGAAAAACTAGGAGAATTAAGTACATGTTTACATTTTTTTGTACAGAGGTGTTATGCAGCGTCCCGACTGCTGCTGTGGGTCCTGGTGAGAGGGGGCTGTAAAAAATATATTAGGGAAGAATGGAAAACATGACCTTATGATCTCCGCAGACCTTGTTTTAGAGCAAGAACTAGGAAGAAAAATAGGATATAGGATGAGGATAAGTAAGCAATTATCAAAAGACAGTGTAAAGCCAAAATGACTATAGCACTAAGGTTTTAGGATAAATGAGTGACGAGAAAGGTTGTTGTTGCTGCTATAGATTCAGCTACTCGGAACAAGTTCCAAGTAGCACGGGCTATGGTGAGCCCGTAGTGGACTCACCTGGCACAGGAGTGGTGCCGTCTGGTCTGACGAGAAAGGTAGTGTGTCAGTATTTTATATTATACTGCGGGTGGGGGGGGGGGGGCGGTGTCTGGTTGCTCCCGGGTCTTTCTCTCCTAATCCCCCCCCTCTCTCTCTCTCTCCCAGTCTCTCCCTTCTCCACTTTTCTCTCCTACTCTTTCCCACCATTCCACTATCCTCCTCTCCCTGATCGTTGGTGGCGCCAACCTACCAATCACCAATCCTCTCTACCAATCACCCGTTCTCTCCTTACCTCTCTTCAAACATCATCCTCTCCATCTTTCCCTCCCTTGTATCTCTGTCTCAGAAAATGTAATAATCTTTATGAACGTTTAGAAATGCCTGCTTCTGATCCTGCATGAAACAGTAAAATACACAATACCACAAATAAGATTATTTGTAAGAGATGTAAAGCTTCCAGTAGAAGCCGGGAGATTCGTCAGTAGTAATAAGTTTAGGCTGCCTCGCCAGATCTGTGTTTTGCTTTAAGAATTAATACTTACGACACTTGTAACTGTTTGACCAGGGGAGAGAGAAGCTTAGTAAACTGAAGCTTATAAATACATATTTACGGTCGTCCATGATACAAGACATTACATTTTGTCAATTGAAAATCTTCTAAAAAAAATTATATAGAAAGTGATATGAAAACATTTGCGGATCTAAAGATGTTTTAGTTAGGATTATGTATCTTTTTTTTATCAGCTGTTCTTTTGTTCATATTCTTTAATTTATTAGGAGAATGTGAACGTAATTTATGGAGGAGAATGTAATTTATTTAAGAGAAAATTTCGTTACATTTCTATTTTCATCATCATGAACCTGTTGGAATATAGTTTGCTTTTCAATTCGTTCAGATTCTGTACCGATTTGTATGGCTCATTATTGTGGTTTCTTGTGTTGTTAACTTATTCTTGTTAAATTCTTTATTCGTTTTCTTTTGTGTACCATGAAAACAGTATGTTAATTTGTCATCAGTCATTAGCTATCACATTAATTTTGATTATAGATTTATTGATTAGTTATATAAATGTAAGTCATTTAGGCTCTCCATATTCAGTTTATTATGGTTTAATGTTTGTTGAAAAGTAATTTATTTAAATTAAGGAAAAGTAGGTGAAAACTAGAATGTGTTTGAACTGTATTCTTTAGCTTGTATATTGTAAGAATCTCTATTCTTATGTTTGCCGTTTTTCCCTCCGTGAGAAAATATAATATATATATATATATATATATATATATATATATATATATATATATATATATATATATATATATATATATATATAACAAACATATAATATATATAATATATATATATATTCATATATTCAGTTGCATATTGTCCTGGGGACCATTCAGGCTTGTTCGCATATATATATATATATATATATATATATATATATATATATATATATATATATATATATATATATATATATATATATATTATATTTTCTCACGGAGGGAAAAACGGCAAACGTAAGAATAGAGATTCTTACAATATACAAGCTGTTTGACCAGGGGAGAACATATACTTTTAATAATAATATATATTATTAGGCTTGACTCTAATAATATCATCATATGACAAGTGTGATTATTGAATCAGTCAGCCTTCTAAGTATATAGATCCAGGTGTGCTGAGGGTAATTAGGGACGACAGTGTGTGTGATTCATTACGATCAGGTGGTCGTCTTATGGGGGTGGCTGTAGAGTAAGTGTGGACCCCAATCTTTAGGCTAATCTCAGACATTTCTGGTCAGCTTTCCTGCGTAATGCAGTGGGAAAAAAGACACCAACAGCATGGGGGCCTATTTATTTATCAGTAGAACAAGTTTTTATTTTCTGCAGACATATTAATGAAGCGGCTATAATATTTCTGTCTTTTCTCCCCCCCCCCCCCCAGAAAATCCTCCGCTTTCCTGTGTAATGCAGTGGTCACTTTCATGCTGCTAGGTAATTACTAGGCTACTTCATGCCCGAAACGCTTTGCGTAATAGTGGCTTTAGGCATTGTATGTACTAGCCCTATCTATAAATCCATCACTCTTTGTAAAATCTCTTGTGTGTATGTACCTTACCTAAATAAACATTTGATTGATTGATTTGATTTCATGCTGCTAGGCTATGACTTAACTATTGATGGTTGTGAATACTTTGGAGAGTATTCCTAAACTAACTTGGTGTAGGTGCAAGGCGTGAGACATGACAACGGTCTTGTAGCAACATAATGAGAGCTGGTAAAATCATATGGCAGTACAACATGGCTGCACTCAACAAATGTGAGTTTTAAATCGAGAATAATAATGAACAGTTTGTCACCAATGTCGCGGATCCCACCTTTTCTACATCAGAGTGGAGACTACCGAACAAATTATCAAGATTTATAGCTGAACGTTATGGTTAATATTAAGTTCTAACATTAATACCCTCACAACATGTCTCGTGCACTACCTTTAATGATTCCAAACAATACAAAACTGCAATCCAAGCCTTACAGCTTCAAAACACGTAAGAAACCTGTTTACCCCTGTCTATTGCTTTGCCTTAATATTATTAAAACAATACAGTATATCCATACAACGGGTAGCAGCATTGCACAATGAGATTGCTAAAAGCTTGGCCACAGCAATGCATGCCACAAACCCACAACACAGCTATATAACGCATTTCATGTAATGTATCAAGCAATCATTCGAAGCAAGGTGAAAATTGTGTTCTGTAACACATTACGGAACCTTATAAAGACCTGGTTAGTTTGGGAACATATTATAAATATATATAACTATGGCAAGACTATATGTTAGCTAAAAAGGCTGACATGGAAATGCAAACTTCATCCCCTGTAGAGTTCAGAGGAAGTTGAACATTTTTTCCTCCCCAACATTTGCGTGACTTGTTCAGGTGTTAGCGTGACTTGTTCAGGTGTTAGCGTGACTTGTTCAGGTGTTAGCGTGACTTGTTCAGGTGTTAGCGTGACTTGTTCAGGTGTATGAATCACGATTCATCCTCTGACAGCATAACTATCTAAATGTAACTAAGGGCCTGACAGCTAAGTAGACAGCATTCGGGGTTCGTAGTCCTAAGAGTCCGGGTTCGATCCCCCCGGAAGAGGTGGGAACAAATGGGCAGATTTTCTTTCACCCTGATGCTCTGTTCCGTAAATAGGTACCTGGGAGTTAGACAGCTGCTACGGGCTGCTTCCTGGGGATGTATGTGTGTGTGTGAAAATTAGGATTAAGGACCTGCCCGAAACGCTATGCGTCTTGCTAGTGGCTGTACAAGAATGTAAGAACCCTGGTATATATAAATAAATACAATAACCTTCTTGTATATAACTTAATTAATAAATAAATAAACTTTGGAAACTGAACGAGAGAAAACGGCTTCTCCGCGCCCCGGATCATGAAGGTGGACCCAAGTAACCAGTTCTTTCCACACTTTCATCTCCGTGAAGGTCATGAGATCAACTATATTCGCCCTCTCCAAGGAAAGGGCGAATATAGTATATATATATATACCCGCCAAACACACACCGAAACTACGACGTTGGTACAACGTTGGAACAAGTTTTAACACCTCCTAACCAGTTATAACAACCAATATAGCAAGTTGTAACAACGTTCTAATACGTCATAAACACGTTAAGCTAAGATGTAACAACTTTATTTCAAGTTGTAACAAGCGGAAAATAGGGACAGTTTCGGTTTGTGTTTCCAGGGTATATATAGCATAACAACGATTGTTTGTATATGTAATCTACAATTATGCTCAGCGAGTCATCTTTTAATTCATTTGCACTCGTTGGTAATATTTAGTTTACCGTTCAGTGAACGCAAGACAACTCACCAACAGTGCCAACGCCCAGTTTACACGTAATCACCCTAACAGAATATCGTCACAATTCTCTAACACTGAATATCGTAGGGGGGTAAAAGAGCACTTAGTACAATACCTGCAGTAGGCGAGGAAAGCCTCAATAATACTGTAGAGGCGGGAGAGAGCAATGCACACACCCACCCTGTGGCCCCGCACACACACACACTGACACCACTCTTCCTATTTACTAACTACAGTTACCACCTTGCTACTAAGTTAATATTATTTAGACTTTTACCCTCGGTATATTTATTCGAGCATATTTCATGTGTAGCCAACTTCGACGGTGGTTTTGTTTAAAGCTCACAGATGTTAACCCAAAAAATATGTGAATTAATTCAGTTTTGGTAACTGCGCGAACGCCAAGTTAAGCCGTGGCGATTACTAAATAATACGTTGGCTAATACAAAAATGAGTCGCCGCAAAAGAGCCCAACTAGAACGTTGTACTCGGCCAACTATGCAAGACCCGATTTGCTTAATAGGCCAAGTATATATATATATATATATATATATATATATATATATATATATATATATATATATATATATGTCGTACCTAGTAGCCAGAACGCACTTCTCAGCCTACTATTCAAGGCCCGATTTGCCTAATAAGCCAAGTTTTCCTGAATTAATATATTTTCTCAAATTTTCTTCTTATGAAATGATAAAGCTACCCATTTCATTATGTATGAGGTCAATTTTTTTTATTGGAGTTAAAATTAACGTAGATATATGACCAAACCTAACCAACCTTACCTAACCTAACCTAACCTATCTTTATAGGTTAGGTTAGGTTAGGTAGCCGAAAAAGTTAGGTTAGGTTAGGTTAGGTAGGTTAGGTAGACGAAAAAACATTTAATTCATGAAAACTTGGCTTATTAGGCAAATCGGGCCTTGCATAGTAGGCTGAGAAGTGCGTTCTGGCTATTAGGTACGACATATATATATATATATATATATATATATATATATATATATATATATATATATATATATATATATATATATATATATATATATATATATATATATATATATATGCGAACAAGCCTGAATGGTCCCCAGGCATATATGCAACTGAAAACTCACACCCCATAAGTGACTCGAACCCATACTGCCAGGAGCACTATGCAACTGGTGTACAGGAGACCTTAACCACTCGACCATCACGACCGTACAAAAGATGATGGTAGCCGAGGCTATTTGCCCATCATCCCGACGGCACTATGATGGTAATCTTGGGCATAGTTATTTTATCAAATCACCTCATTTTTTGGGGCCACGTGAGCAACTCAAATAAAGTTAGGTTCTTTTAATTTGTCCTTATACTATTTAATAAATAAAAAGGCTTTCCTAATGTGACGATGTCTTTTGAATTTTGTAACTAGCTAATCAACATTGTAACTTGCTTAGCTAAATAAATTGTGGGGTTCAGTCCCTGAGCCCATTATGTGCCTCTGTAACCCTTTCCACACCCGCCCACAAGATGGGTATGGGGTGCATAATAAATGAACTAAACCAACCTGCCTTAACATCTTTATATGTATGATAATCTGGGCGCACATCAACATATCAGCATTAAGATCAGTGTGAAATTCCTGTTTTGGCCAGAATGTCTAAATTCCACTCTGCATGAGTGGACTTTGTAATGTTTCTTTTCGGCAGCTTTATTTCCTCAGTTTCTGAACTGGTTTCTTTAGCTTGTATGTTGTAATAAACTATTCCAACATTTACAGTTGTTCTTCCTTGTGAAGATTTAGCAAAAAATTGTGCTTGTAAGGGTGATAAAGTTCAGCCCCGGCAGCACCCTATAGTTTTACTCCATAGTTCCACCTTTGTGGGACCTGTATAAGCCTAACATGTATATATACACTGGCTGCCTGTCCCCTACACAATGATTTATCATTAACTATTATATACAGTATGCCCGGCTAAAGCGAACACAGTACAGTTTCGTCATAGGAGATTCCTAGATTGGAGTTCACTACCAAATTTTAATATATCAAAGTATTTTTGGTGTGAAATGCTGTTATTTTATGCATCATTTATTGTTTTAATAATATTACGGCCATCTCAACAAAGAACAGTACATCCTAAGCAGACGTTATATAATGATATTCTCAACAGTAGATAAAAGAAAATTAATTGTTATCTAATACCAGAATAGTATAAAAGCTTATCATAAGCTACGGGATTTGTGGATCAGTGTTTAAAAGGAATTCGGAAGTAATAATGATACAGCTGATGCCATCTGTCGGCAGAAGAGAACACTATCAACTGGCTGGTCAACAGTGGCCATAAGATACAGCTTACGCCATCTGTTGACATCAAATTACACTTATAACAAATTACCCCACAAAATACAACTAACGCCATCTCTTTTTTTTCCAACGCACTATAAATAGCCAAACAGCAACCCATAAGGCGGGTTGTTGTGCTCGGGTAGGAGGTTCCAAGCTCCGCCCACAGATGGTATGGGGTGCATAATAAATGATATATCATTGGTAGAAACTCTTTGTTGACATTCACACAACAGCCAATCACAGGAAGGGATCAGCTAAAGGCTCCATCCACTTAATAAATCATCTTTATTCAGCACACCATCCTTGCTTATGATATTCTGCTTCAACTTTAATCTACCTAAAAAGTGAAGGGTTAAGTATTTAAAAGCATTAATAAAGTGATAATTAAATACTGCAGGATGTAACGAGTGTTACAGAAACATGGGCTGGCTACCTAGCTTGTGACGTCATCAGTGGGGGTTGCCTCACGCAAATAATATCGATGATACAATGCTCAGTTCTCTTATTGGACTCGATTATTCAGTTAGATGGAAATTTCTGTCTTGTACAAAACGAAGAGGTTGTGTTTGAAATAAAGATATTGTTGTGCAAAAAGACGTATTTCTTAGTTTGCATTTAATTATTGAAAGAGTGTTGGCATTCCCAGCAACAGCCAATCACAGGAAGGTATTAGCTAAAAGTTCGTCTCCTTACTGACGTCTTCAGGAGCGACACACAGATCTAGCTTACGACTTTCTCTTTCATCTCTTGTATATAAAAAATATGAATATTTCGCTTACTATGATTATTAAAAGTATGAGATTATAACAGTTGTTACACAAAATAGCTAAATTTTGCCATTAAAAGAGATCATAGTGGATTTTGTAATAGTTTTATGGAAAGCGTGTTATACAATTTTTCTAAATATCTTCTGATATGGGTGTTGACTTCTCAATTTGTGTTCCTAATACTTGAAGGCTTTTGACCTCAAGTACAGGTTCTAAATTAAGCAACTGACATATGTGGAGAGCTAGTGTCACAATTGATATGTTTGTCCGGCACACTGACCCCCATCCAGTGGGCAGCGCCTCAAAGAAGATTGTTGTTGTTGTTTAAGATTCGCTACTTGGAACAAAAAGTTCCAAGTAGCACGGGCTATGGTGAGCCCGAATATCATTCTCAAAGAAGATAATATGCAGCATCCCGGGGAAGCCTTGTGGGACACCCGCGTTCACTTACATATTGCCTTCTACCACCCCCTATATTTTTTGTATTTTGTCATTTTATTTTATTTAAAACTTCATTACAAAAATGAAAACAAAAAGGGTTACAACATTGGTTACATGCAAGGTATAAAACTACTTGTCACAGGTTGTATAGTTCCAGGTCCTCAGATGGCGGGCAGGAACCATGGATGCAGTGAGCATTTCCTCTCTGGATTGCCACACTAAGGCGATGAAAGAGGAAACTGGCGGCTCTAGGGGTCTCTAGTTGTGTCAGTAAGCTTAGAACCCAGCGCCTTCAAAAAAAAAAAAAAAACTAACTGAACTTTTACCTTTGCATGCCATCCTCCCGTGCTTTGGCAGAGGTCATGTCGTCTGTACCTGTCGGCCTCTGCCTCGCCGCAAATACACCTGTACCCCTGCCTGTTGACCTAAGTAATTGGGTAGGATTTCTTCCACCAGGTTGTCAGATGCCACTGAAGAGGACAGGAATGCTGGTACAGCAATTTGTGTTGCTGTGCGAACGCCGAGGCCCCCGAGTCTGACAGGAAGGGAGGCTTGTTCCCGCTGTGTGTCGCTGAGAGAAAGGCTGATCCTTTCTCTAACACTGATTTCAGCAAGCTGTCGTACTCTTCTAATTTAATATTGTTGAACAATGGCGAACATGTAAGAAAGTAGGTCAGCCCGGGGAGGGACAAGCATCTGGTGATGAGGTAAAGTGCATCATGAGCATCAATGTCTTGGACTCTCTTACATTCTTGTACATATTAGCTTGTTATGCATGTCTATATATTAAACACGCATTACAACAATTGCGTCCGCTCATAGAGGAAATATCTGAGGAAACATGGGATCCGGAAAGCAACATTACTATGGGAGCGACACCGTGGGAGCGGCACCATGGGAGCGACACCATGGGAGCGACACCATGGGAGCGACACCGTGGGAGCGGCACCATGGGAGCGACACCGTGGGAGCGGCACCATGGGAGCGGCACCATGGGAGCGACACCGTGGGAGCGGCACCATGGGAGCGGCACCATGGGAGCGACACCGTGGGAGCGGCACCATGGGAGCGGCACCATGGGAGCGACACCGTGGGAGCGGCACCATGGGAGCGGCACCATGGGAGCGACACCATGGGAGCGACACCATGGGAGCGGCACCATGGGAGCGACACCATACATAGTGATGACGATAGTGACCGTGACTCACAAGCTTGATGTATAATACCCGCGCTTGGGGCCATGGCACGAGCTTCCTTGTTTCTCCTACCACAGATGTAGCCAATCATTATACTCTACTAACCAGCATGTTTACATTTGTCCTACACCTAGATTTACATCTTTAAAGATTTACATTTTTTGTTTATTTGCCCCGAGGGGCGAGTTTATTGGGCAGCGCCACTCATCCTGTGAGTGGACACACCGCCATTGCAGTATGTACAACACTCCCCAATAGGAAGAAAAGCTAAAAAGCGAGGCTACAAGTGCTACAGTTTACGTGAGGCTACGTGAGGTTACACATGCTAGTTTACGTGAGGCTACAAGTGCTAAGGTTTACGTGAGGCTACAAGTGCTAAGGTTTACGTGAGGCTACGAGTGCTAAGGTTTACGTGAGGCTACGAGTGCTAAGGTTTATGTGAGGCTACAAGTGCTACGATTTACGCGAGGCTACGAGTGCGCCAGAATCCAAAGGACACTTGGCCGGGAGGGATTTTCTTAGGAAGCTCGATGTTCGTAAAGGGTTTGTTGAATCAGGACGTGACCGCGAAGAATGAGATAAGCAAATTAAGGTCTCCCAAGTAGCCATGTAATTACTTTCCCCAAGTAGTCATTTTCTACTATAAAACAGAGCCACTGTTGTTCCACGTTAACCTATATGTGATGCTAATCAGTAAGAATCCCCCCAAAATTGGCATAACATTATTACTTAAAAACTGGCATAGTAAGCTGTATCTAAGTTGCCAAGGCCTGTTTTCTACGTGTTCTCTAAGAACATTTTCTACAGCCATAACTTCATAACAAGAGAGTAGCGTAAAGTTTTACTATTTCATTTTTCTATACGCAATACTCAAATATGAAAAGTCTGGGCCAGAAATATGTTCGTTAATAACGGATAAAGAGAGGCGGTAACCCAGCCGCTGTAAGCCTGAAGGCTGGTCGTGGTTGATGCAGGCGGCAGACTTCGGGCTAGTGCCTTACTGCTAGCACCTCACAGCCAGTACCTCGCTGCTAGTTCCTTGCAGCCAGTACCTCGCTGCTAGTTCCTTGCAGCCAGTACCTCGCTGCTAGTTCCTTGCAGCCAGTACCTCGCTGCTAGTTCCTTGCAGCCAGTACCTCGCTGCTAGTGCCTTGTAGCCAGTACCTCGCTACTAGTTCCTTGTAGCCAGTACCTCGCTGCTAGTTCCTTGTAGCCAGTACCTCGCTGCTAGTTCCTTGTAGCCAGTACCTCGCTGCTAGTTCCTTGTAGCCAGTACCTCGCTGCTAGTTCCTTGTAGCCAGTACCTCGCTGCTAGTTCCTTGTAGCCAGTACCTCGCTGCTAGTTCCTTGTAGCCAGTACCTCGCTGCTAGTTCCTTGTAGCCAGTACCTCGCTGCTAGTTCCTTGTAGCCAGTACCTCGCTGCTAGTTCCTTGTAGCCAGTACCTCGCTGCTAGTTCCTTGTAGCCAGTACCTCGCTGCTAGTTCCTTGTAGCCAGTACCTCGCTGCTAGTTCCTTGTAGCCAGTACCTCGCTGCTAGTGCCTTGCAGCCAGTACTTCGCTGCTAGTTCCTCAAAGCTAGTACGTCACTGCTAGCACCTCGGCTCATCTCACCCATTTCAGGTATTGTAATAATCTCCGATTTCATATTTATTCAGCCCATTCTTACGACTTTAAAAACTGTCAAAAATTAAGTGTTTTTTGACTAATCAGATGTGTACGAACTTATCAACGCAAACGCTCTTTATTCCGAGAAAGCGTCAATATTGCGATGTTTTTAATTTCGGTGAAACACTAAAAATTTGACGCTAGGCCAATAACGTCAAAATTGCGGTGCAATAAGTTTCCAATACTGTATTTGTTTAATAATAAAAAAAGAATATTTAAATTATTGTCATTGATAATACGTGTATTTATGGGAGTGCATAAATAACATAGGCCCCCTTGAAGAGTTATTGAAGCAGCTAAATATACAATTCTGTAGGACACAGTACTAGGATACAACACTGTAGGATAGAGTAACGTAGCATACGCTAGGATTTCGAGCTGGTGATTTGTGGCAAGCTAAAAGGATGAGGAGTGGATGAAAGATCTGTCAAATAACGCAGCCTACATATTTCGTATGACATGTGTGGCTTGGGTTACATGTTTCACACGTTATTGTGACTTATCGAGGCCTATGCACATATATTACTACCAAAATAACGTATTACTGAGAATATTTTTAACAGATGAAGTACTGCTCTCAATGGGCGCACCGGTGACGTTAGTGCGGCGCCGACTGTAAACACTTCCTTGCTTCTGCAACCTGTTAAGTTACCTTAGTTAAGTTAGTTACCTTAGTTAAGTTAACCTTAGTTAAGACAGCACTAAGGTCCAAATTCTAACGTTATTACATGCCTCTCTAATCATACCCAGACATGACGGTTATGAATTAACTAATAATATAAATCGCATCAATTTACAGGTGAAATTTGTGTAACTAGGTGGGTGAGGTACAGAGGGATGGGACTGGACTGGGAGAGGTACAGAGGGGTGGGACTGGACTGGGAGAGGTACAGAGGGGTGGAACTGGACTGGGTGAGGTACAGAGGGGTGGGACGGGGGTGGAGGCAAGGTTAACATACGCAGGTATGCTGCGGTTAGCTGGGGAATGGTGGGGTGAGGGCGAGAGTTGTAGGGCGTGTATAGGAGGCTGCAGTGACTGCAAGTGGGATGTTGCTTCGTCAAGTGGGTGGAATGGGGAAGGTAGGGGTGGTAGGGGGAGGCTAAAGGGTTTGACAGAGCAGGGGAAGCAGGGTGGGGGTGGCTCTGGGGATTGGGGGGTGGCTGTGAGGATTGGGGGAGTGACTGAGGGGGTTGGGAAAATCTTTTCTTCACCTGTACTGCAAGAAAAAACTAGGGCGACGTTACATGCCATGTCGTCTGTCGGACCTGAGCTTAATATCGACATTTCTCCAGAAAGATTAAATAAATAAAGGCACACTTTCTTAAATAAGTTTCCTATAAGAAAACTATTACATCTAAGTTAAATAAGACCAGTCTAATTTTCCTTAAGACGTCTTCCGCTGCCAAAGTTAAACAGTCTCCTCTTATCAGGCCGAGAGCTTTTCCTTCCTGTAGCTCGCATTACGGGCTCACCATAGCCCGTGCTACTTGGAACTTTTTCTTCCAGGTAGCGAATCTTAAACAACAACAACATGTAGCTCACAGTAAGCCTTAACTTATTAGATTTACAAATATGTAGATAACTATCTATTTGGTGTAAGAGTGAGTTAGGTGACTTTACCCTGAGGACGTTTAATAACTTATGATATTTATTAATTTATGAACGGAGAATTTAATCCTCATACAAGATTTAGATTATTGTATTTTATATTTAAGGATTATTAATTACCGTAGTGGATATTTTCCACAGGTTGTGTTCAGGAGAGAACATTTATACAGAAGGAACACCTGATCAGGCCGTCGACTAGGTGTGTGTGGGGGCTTTAGGGGGGCAATGACCATCTCCCATCCGCCCCGGAACCCCCACAAGGTGCTATAGTCTCTGTCACGGTGGTTGATGGACAGTGACGAATTGGTGTTACCAGTCGCATCACGCTAGGATACTTTCCGCTAGGATACTTCTTGCTAGAATGCTTCCTGCTAGGATACTTCCCGCTAGGATAGCTCAAACAATTAGGTAGCGACAAGACTTACCATTAATGTATAATGATTAACTGTAAATACATAGCTATTGAAATGGAACATTCTCTATAACTAGCTGACATTATAATTATAACGTGTGACAGATAGGTGCAATTGTTAATGTAATAATCTCCGTATAGACTTAAGATCTGAGTTTAGGTAAGATGTGTACGTAAATTGTGAGCCACATACAAACAAAGCACTCGAGAACACACACAGCATGAGCCACATACAAACAAAGCACCCGAGAACACACACAGCATGAGCCACATACAAACAAAGCACCCGAGAACACACACAGCATGAGCCACATACAAACAAAGCACTCGAGACCACACACAGCATGAGCCACATACAAACAAAGCACTCGAGACCACACACAACATGAGCCACATACGAATGTGGTGGCGGGTTTCCCAGAATCTTCAATTACAAAGATTTCAACGAAATCGCCGTTAATATCTCACAGTCCACTCTTGCCGTACCACGCTCGGCGCATTAATGTCTTTATATAATATACATTTCCTGCCTACGAATTTTCCGGGCTCACTGTAACCCGTGCGACATGGACACTTCGTTCTGTGTAGCTAAATCTAAAACAATAACAACAGCCTACGAATTCTCCACTGTATCATGTATCAAATGTGTGCATTTACACGAGGCTTGCTTCAGCTGGACCATAGGCAGATTAATTTTGCCGTGATTCTTCTGGGTATTATTTACGTGGTTGATGGATAAGTATGTTATCTTCAGTGAGATCATAACGTGTGGTTTAATAACTTATTATACGGTGTCATATTTCATTCGTGCTCTGAATTAGTTTGTAACTGAATTCGTGTTAGGCAATGCTGAGAAGTTTCCTGTCTTCTGGGATGATGTGTAAGACTATTATTTACCAAGCACGGAGGTTCAAGTTCAAGTATGTTTATTGACAAGAAAATACATCTCAAAGGGATAGAGTAGCTTAGGCTATTCCTACCCCCCGCCCCCCACCCACAGAGGTACCTCAAGCCTGACAAATGTCGCATATGGGTAGCCTATCAATAATTTCCTACTGTGCCTTTGGCAGCCAACGTAGCCTCACGCACATTAAAATCAACGCATGCTATGAATGTTAACTCAATCTCTTACATTAAACTAAATTTATTTCTAACAACATCGTCACTGATACCTCAATACCTTGTTTCCGCAACTCATAAAATATTAATAACTTGAGTCGTGTATCTGTATATATTATAGAGGATTATTTATGCTAAAATAGTGTGGATGGGTCAATGATTATATGAGACTTCTAGATGTTACTACTGCTCGGCTTAGACTCGGTTACAAGT